AGGCAGGTATTGACAGGAAGCAGCAGAAAGATTTTCTGGGGGCTGGAAATGTTGTGTCTCGATGAGGGAGGTGGTTTTAAGGTCTGTGTGTATACGGGTCAACATTTCTTCAGCTGTACATTTAAGATTACTGTCCTTTGCATGTGTTGCTGAATCTGCATTAAACCTAAAATGTTTGTTGTTTTTTTTAAGTAAATATTTCTATGACATTAGGCACCTTCAGTTTTCAACTATCTTTCACTCTATTTTCAGTTCGGGGCAGGGCTGAATATAAAATAAGAAAACCCCCTTCCAATCTTTTAAAGAAAAGTTTCATTTAAAACCTCAAGAGAAGCAGGGCTCATTAGAAACATGGGAAAAAGAAAGTAGATTGACGGGAGGACACGGGGTTGGAGGGGAGAAAGGGAGGGATTTCCTTAAGGGCACGATGAGCTCTGAGCTCGGAGACAAAGATGAAAGGGAGGAGGAGGCGGACAGTCTCGAAGGAGGTTGCAGGTAATGAATTGTTCCTCAACAGGAGGGATCCCATAGAGACTTCAGAGAGAGAGGCAGGATCTCAGACAGGTCTGATGTTTCCTTGGGGGGGGGGGGGGCGGGCCATCCTTAGGAGGGGGGCCCTTAAAGCCACGGTAGGCAGCAGCTGTCAGGGCAGGCCCGTTGGCCAGTGGGTCAGCCTTGGGCAGGGAAAGTGTGGAGGTCATATGGTGATTGTAGGTGAGGAGCCATGGACCGGAGGGAAAGCCCTGGAAAGGTGCAGAGTCAAACCCTCCAGGAGGTGCCAGGGAGACCACAGGGCAGAAGGGGAGGGGGTGCGCCAGGCATGTAGGTGTAATCCAGGCCTGTGGGGGAAGCTTCTGGAAGGCCGTTGTCTCCTGGTTAGCATTCCCCACGAGGGGAGGGCGTAAAGGTGGACAGAGGTTTATGTTTGAGACCTGGAACTCACTGACTTCCTGCCTGCCACAAATCCAGAAGTTTCCAAAGGGAAAAGGGAGAAAGACCCTGGGCCCCACAAACAGCCTTGATTCCGCACACACACGGGAAGGAGAAGCGCCGTCGTAGGAAGCAACTTCTATTTTTTAAAAACTCAGCTGGGCTTGTTGAAAGGAGTTTGGGGGGGCGGGTGGACAGAGGGGAGTGGAAGCCGCAGGAACAAAGGTCAAAGGGAAGCTGGGGTGGCTTGAAGTCTCCCAGGCCCGAGACCAGAGGAAGCCAGAGGCCGAGGACTGGCCGGCAGAGGGCGCTGGGCTCTCTCTGCACTCCCGAGGGCACTGGTTCCAGAAGCTTCTGCCTAGGAACCCAAGAATGGTTTTCCGCTGAGACCGATGTAAGGGGAGTAAAAAGAGGATTCTTAGGCATCTCCACTCAGAAGTGAGAGGAAACTTTCAAAAATGTAAAGGAGGTCATCTCAGGCCCCAGCTTAAAACCCCACCTAGCTTCTCGCTGCTCTCCGAGGAAGGGCAAGCTCCGCCCAGTTCCGGAGGCCCTGCAGGCTGGAACCCGGTCAGTCCGATCTCTTGCGGTGGGACCGCGTCTCCCCCTGGCTTGCTGCCTTCCGGCCCCTCGGACAGACCAGAACTTCCTCTGTTGAGCCTTTGCGGCGGGGACTGGCTGTCTCCTCTGCCCGGGACGCTCCGTCACACGTGTCAGCTCCCAGAGGAGGCCCTGACCTCCCCGTCTCCTGTCCTCCCCGTTCCTCTCACATGTCCCCTGACTGTGGTCTCTCCGCCTGCACTCACCTTACGGATATGTCTGAGGTTTGCTCACTAGCCTGGAAGTCCTGTGGGAGCAGCCACCTTGTCTGTCGTGTTCTCAGCTGCAGTTTTGGCACCTCGCTCTTTGTGCGGCAGAGATGGTTAATAGCTACTTGTTGAATTACAAAAGCCTGGAGGATTCCGGAATTGAGGAGGCCGGGGCAGCAGCCATGAGCCCCATAACCCAACCTCAAGAACTTACTGGATGGGAGAAAGCACAGCCAGCCTGGTAGGAGATGGATCTGTTACACACATGGGGTCCCCTGCTCATAGGAGGGCTGGTAGCTGTGACCCTGGACAGAGCCCACAGCACCGGCTGCCAGCAACCAGGAGCAAAGAGACCTAGTCATTGAAAATATGCTGAATCAGACTTCCCTGGTGGTCCAGTGTCGAAGAATCCATCTGCCAGTGCAGGGGACGTGGGTTTGATCCCTGGTCCAGGAAGATTCCACATGCCTCCTGGCAACTAAGGACTACTGAGCCTGGGCTCTAGAGTCTGTGCTCCAGAGTCTGTGCTCCACAACAAGAGAAGCCGCTGACATGCCAAGCTCTTGCCCCACAGCTAGAGAATAGCCCCTGCTCACCACAACTAGAGAAAGCCTGCACACAGCCAAAAATAACTTTAAAAAAATATGCAGAATCGGTACCTGGAGAGAGTCCCACGCAAGTCCTAGGACTGCCACAGTTGAAATTCTCTAAAGAATTTCAGAAGATGGAAACATTCCTGATGCCTCCATTCTTGTGAGGTGGCTGAGCATGAATGGGCTTCTTCCCCCAGGTTAGAGGAAGTGGCCCCCGATGCTACACTACCTGGCCTTTGGGGGAGCTGAGGCCTTTCTCCATCTGGGACTCTCTGTCACTGCTGTGGTCCCTGCATGATGAGGGCATCTGAGTCTGATTCGCGGGGCTCTGGAGCATCATTTTCAGGGATAATGGCCAGAGGGCGTGGAGTTTGCTTGTTGATTCTAACCTCTAGCTGGTGCTGGGATTCTTCACGTCCTGTTGAGTCTGACCCCAGAAAAGCAAGATGCTCTAGAAACTTGGGATCAGATTAAGTCAACACTGGGGGTGTTGACAGGCATGTAGGAGATGGCTCAGGAGGCAGCTGGGGCTGTAGGAACCCTAACATCTGAGAGGCCCTGACATCTAAGGAAAACAATTGAGAGCAGAATTTTTAATCTGGTCAAGATTGAGCAGAACAAAAAAATTGGAGAAGGAAGAGTTTGGACTTCAGTTTCTTTGGATTTTGGTTTTCATCACAAAGGAGGTTTCATTGTGAATTTTATTTATTTTTTGAGGAGAGAATTCATTGTTTGGAGGGTGTTTGTATTGTTCAAAACAGGGGGCACTTCTTGTTTGGTTTATGGCAGGACCTCTGATGAGCACACACACAGTTGAGGTGGGAATGATATGGAATGGAGATGGGCCAGGCATGGGTTTTATTCTGGGGTGTGGGGTGGCCTTGGGGATTAGTCAGCATCGGTGCTCCCACATCTACCTGCGCCAGGGTCACTCGAGAGCTTGTTACAAGAAGACTGCCGGCGCCCCCAGAGCTGCTGATTGAGTCGGTCTGGGTAGGGGGAGCGGTGCCTGAGAACTTACATTTCTTACAAGCTCCCGGGTGCTGCTGGTACTTCGGGCTCGGTTCCACACTCTGGGAGTGTGACCTAAGGATGCTTCAGCTCTGAATCATTCTGTGGTCCAACACAAAGCCCCCTTTTCAGGTCTCGGGGGAGCTCCCGAAGGAAGAGTGACTGGGGGCGAGGGGGTCCCGGTGGGGTCAGGACCATCGGGGCGTGCTCTACCCTCACCGCCAGGGAGACAGCCAACCCCTGACTGCAAGGTTGGCCAAGAAATCCTAGGGCTTAGGAGAGGGAAGTCAACGGGTGTGTTTGTGTGTGCATATGAGTGTGTATTTGTGTGCTTGTACGTGTGTGTGTTTATGTGTGCACACATAAGTGTGTGTATATAGGTGTGTGTGCATGTGAGTGCATGTGCATGTATGCGAGTGTGTGTGTGAAACCTTTTCCTCAGCATGCTCTCATCTCAGCGCCGACTGGAGAGTGATAAACAAGTCTGGCCTGTCTCCTCCCTCTCTCCATGGGACAAGGGCTGGGCTGATCAAGTCGGTTTTCTCCTGTGTAAATAACTGCTGGCCTTGCCTCGCTTTCAAAATTCTAGGGAGGATTCAAGGTCTCTAAGAAGAGGAAAGAAAGATAGGACCTCAAACACGTTCCAAAGCAGAGATGCCTCTCTGCCAGCATCCTGGACGAGCTCTCAGCCTCTTCCTCCAGCCGGCCACTCCTGCCTGAGCATCCTTCACAAACTGACCGGCCCTTGGAAGCCCTTGGACAGCCTACGAAGCTTCGTCCCAATTTCCCAGTTTTTGCAGATTCAGGGCTAACAGCAATATGATTGTTCCATGCGAAAAGCAGAAAATGTTCAAATTTATTGCTTTGAGAATTTGGTCTCTCTTGGGCCTGGTTGATGCAGTTTCCTTCAAGTTTCGTAGCATTTTGTTAAAAGAAGAATTTTTGGCAGTAGTATTTTGCCTCACATTTACTCGAGGTTTATAGTTTATGAAGAGTGTTCACGTAATAACGATAATCACTGTAGATATTGACTTCCTAACCGCGGAGCTCAGTTAACCCTGGAAACCACTCTCCCTTTCCACAGATGGAAAAGCAGAACCCCAGAGAGATTAAGGGGCTTGCTAAGGTCACACAGCCCAGGGAAAGCACAGGGTGGAACTGAACCCAGGTCCATTTGGTTTCAGCCTGCGTTCCTCCTCTCCTTTGTCCTTCTTATCTTCAGCCTGACTGAATGCATTCCAATCTGCAGAAAAACTGAGTGAGAAAAACACAAAACAAAGCAAAAACCAGAGGCTTTTGCAGAAGACAGAGGCTGAAATGCATATAAAAATAAACGCGTGTGTTCAAGGGAACCCTCAGGTCCCCAAACAATATGTTTTGTGTAAGATTCTTCCTATAATGATGCAGGTGGTGGGGGGTCCAGTGGGGCAGGTCATCAGCGAGCAGAGGACTGACTTTCTCAGTTTTAGGAATGCACTGTCCAAACGGTGGCCAGGAACCACACACAGCTATTTAAATTTAATTAAAATGAAAAATTTAGTTCTTCAGTCGCACTTGCCGCATTTTAAGAGCTCAATATCCATGTGTGGCCGCCCTTTTGGACAGCAGGGATCTAGAACATTTCTATTATCACAGAAAGTTCTACTGTATAGCATTGTTCTAAGCCCCCATCGAGCCTGCTCCTGTCTTATCCTGACTGTCCTGGAGGAGGTGATAGACCCCTCTTCTAAGGTAGGTTCCTCTGTAGTCAAGGTACCTATGGTTGCCATCCCAACACCCAAGTCGCTCCACTTTACTCTGGAGAGGCGACAACACAAGGGAAGCAGATAAAGGCCAAAAACCGAAGGAGTGGCCATTAACTCAGGCCGTGCTACTCAAAGTGTGGCCCAAGGACTGGCAGCATCAGCTTCTCCTGGGAGCTTGTTAGAAACGCTCCATGCCAGACTCTCTGAATAAGGACCTGTGTTTTAACAAGACCCCCAGGTGATTCAGGTGCACATTTAAATTTGAGAAGCTGTGACTTAAGAGACAGGCTGAGCAGGATCAAAATATTGTCCCAAATATAGGAAACCAATCAGATATTTTTAGACACACGAAAAAATAGCATCAGCACCCTGTTCCCCCAGTAGTGTGTGATTAAACATGAGTCACAGAGGCCTGAGCATCTCTGCACCACGTGATCAATCAGCATATTTCCTAGGCTAGGCCCCTCGGGGGGAGCTGGGGGGAGCTGGCCCATTCCCCACCCCTAGCACCTTCTTAAACCAAGATGAGGTCACCTCTCCAAAGCAAAGAGAGCTAAGACTCACATCCTGGGTCTCAGGGATGCTGCCTTTATATCAGATTTTCTATTTTTGCCTTTTCTTTCCAATGCGTCTGGCTTTGAACTTTGTAAATTGCCAAAGACACAATGCACTGTATAAAGTCAGCCTGAACAAACACACAGTCCTTTAAAGGGAAGCACCTGGCAAAGCATGGTCTCCCCTTCCCGGGGACGCGATGTCCTTCCTGCAGGCCCCCGTGCCTGGAGCCAGGTGCTAACGAAGCTTTCTGGGAAGGAACCAGCAACAGACAGATCCATGAAGAAAACAGGTGGAAGAGGTGGTTCCATCCACCAGGAGGGCAAAGATGAGGCTTAAAATGAGCCTGGCAGCACACTGCCTGCCTTCCCACCACCACCCGAGCTGGGGACGGAGAGGTCTGCTTCAGGAATGGTTCCAGAGCTCGGATTCCTCCGTCATTGTGGATGACGCACCCTTTTATTCCCCTCTCCTCTCAGCCTACCTTGGGTCTTACTTATTTTTATCCCCAGAATGGAGTTAAGTTGCCAAAAGGATGATATTTCTCCACCTGCAAGGGCCCTCCTGGAGGATGAATATTAAAATATTCATTTTTACAACTTGCTCCCAGCGATAATGCAGAAGACAAGAATGCTGTGGGGAGGAGTTGGGGACAGCGACATGGGCCCAGTGGGGAAGCCTGGGGCCTTGGGGAACTGCTCAAAGGCTCTGCCATGAGAGACATCCCAGGAATTGACTCCAAGGGGTTGGACCGGGGAAAAGGGGAAGGGGCCAGTGTGCTTTCGTAACTCTTTATAATGCTGAGAAGAATCAAAGCCATGCCTAAGAATAGTCCTGCTGTTTTTGCCTTGTCAGCAGACAGATGTGTCGTTTTGGTAGCAAACCTCATTTTTTTTCTCCAGGGAACAACCCGTTGCCCATTGCATGGGATCTTGGTGGGTCTGTCGGTCAAGATGCCTCACCCTTCCCTGGGCTGGGGCACGTGACCCAGGTCAGGCTGTTTGGAAGCTCGAGTCCTTGAATGGAGACACACAGTAGGATCTGGAGCAAATATTTGGATTCACCCGTCCTGGTGGTGGTGCCTGGGGAGGCTGCCCCCTGGTTCTTGCAACCTGGACCCCTGGCAATATCCTCTTCCCTGGCCTTCTTGAGGTCTGGCTGTTCACTCTCCTGAGATTCCTTGAGCCACTCCGAGGCATTATAATACTGTATTATTATTATTAATTTTTTTGCTTAAGTTAGAAAGAGTTGGTTTCTATTATTTGTAGGTAAGAATCCAAACTGACACAAACCCAAATGCCCAGAAATCAGGGCTTAAAAGCATGATCCAGCCCACGATGGAGTACCACACAGCCAGGTACAGCAATGAGACACGTGTACAGAAAAGATGTTTATAACGTGTAGTTCAGTGCAGAGCAGATTATAATAAAACAGGATGTCATAGTATGATACAATGCTTGCAAAATACACTCTGTACCATCATAGAAAAAGGCCTGGAAAAAATATAACAGTATTTATTCCGGGGCTGATGTATTCAGTATTTCCCTGATGCTGGGAAAGATTGACAGCAAAAAGAAGGGGGCAGCAGAGGATGAGATGGTTAGAGAGCATCACTGACTCAATGGACGTGAATTTGAGCAAACTCCAGGAGATAGTGGAGGACAGGGCAGCCTGGCGTGCTGCAGTCCATGGGGTCTCAGACATGACTTAAGTGACTGAACGACAACATTTATTCTGGAGGGTAGGAAGGGGAATGATTTTTCTTTCAGCTTACCATAAAGATATTCCTAACCGTTCTATAATATTTGTATAATAACTCTTCTGTTTTGCTTTTTAATAAAATGGGCCCAAGCAGGTGACACTTTCTTGGTGCCTGTCAAGAATGATTTGCGGGGTTCAGACAGCAACTTATTTACCAAATGCCAGGGCTCCTGCTACAGCCACAGCTCCCTTGTAGCTCTGACTACTGTTAAGAAGATGCTGGAAACATCTGAGTCTCCACAACAGGAAGCAGCATCTCCCACAAGCCTCAGGACACCAGCCACATTCTGCTAACGAAAACCTTATGAGGTGGAGGGTCCACCCTCTGCTTGGTGGAAAAGAGAGGTTCAGAGAGACAAGAGACCTGCCCAGGTCCCCCCAGTGGGGGTTTAAAGCCAAGTCACCTGGCCCAGGGCCACAGCAAGCACCCCAGGGTGCCTCTCAAGTTCACTAACAGCCAGAATGAAGTGGCTGAGCCTGGAGACAGACTCAGAACCATCTTGTGAAGTCAGCCAGGTGGACACGCTGCCGAGGGGTGAGGGTGAGAGAGGAGATGCTCTCTCCAAGGTGCTGGGGCCTGAACTCTCTGCCCTGCAGAATGGCCGCCTCCCAGGGGTGGCGTTCACATGGAGAGCAGATCTGTGGGATACTCTTCCTTTTCAGGTCTCAGCCTGAAGGTCATCTGGTCACAGAGGCTCTTGACCCCTCCTCTAAGGTAGGTTCAGGCATCAGTGCCTCGGCCTGCTTGTCTCCTTTGGAGCATTTAATGGAACTCTTGCAGTCATTCTGCTCCATGGTCTGTGTCTCCCTGCTTGACTGTGTATGCTCCCTGAGGGAGAGGCTTCTGACTGTTCCACTCACAGTTGTGGCCCCGTGTCTGGTCCCCTGCAGACACTCACCAGGTAGCTGCAGAACAATGGAATAGATGAACGCCGGACAGGGGCAGTGAGCGAAGCATGGGGTCTGGTCTCACCTCTGCTTTTATTGGCTGTGTGACCTCGGGCATGTTGCTGCCCCTCTCTGGGTCTCTTCCAAGCCATGAAGCAAGTATAAATATCCAACTTCATTGAAAAGGTTGGCCTCACCCTTGCTGAGTTTCTTAGGACCAATGTAAGGGAAGGTAATAGAAGTTGGCATCTTTACTAAATTATACCTTAAATCAACTGCTGGTTGATTATTCTTTCTGATGATAACTTTGCAGTGGTTTCCCCACGAGTCACTGATGTGCAATGAACCCAATTGTATTTCTTATTCAATAAACTCTTTTATTGTAACTTTACAGATTTTTCCATTACAGTAATGAAAACAGCACTAGTGATTCATAACTGGCCCAAATCAAAGGAGAACTCTTTCTCAAATTATAAGATAAATGACACATAATTGAACATATAGTAAATGTTGGGCAAAAGGAATTCAAAACATAGAAAATGGGGTCAAGATTTTGTATGTTTGTGTATGTGAGTGCAAACACTTTAAGGTTTAGTTTATCAGGATGACAGCATTTTTGAAAGCACATGATTTTGAAAACTATACTTATAATCTGTGATAAAAACACAACTGTAGAGAAAAGGCAAAATCAAGCAAAACCCAATAAACCGCCAAAAGGAAAGGAAGTGAATCAAATCCATGAGGCTGCAATGCAAACCTCCGGTGCTTTGGCCCTGGAATGGCGAGAGAGCAGGCTTCACAGAAATTCTCTGTGGAAAGGAATGTCTGGGCCTGGTGTGACATCTCCGCATCTCCAAGTCCTGTCTCCTCACAGAGGAAAAGAAGTTGCTCGTCCAACACATCGGCTGGGTCTGCCGGGCAGGGGCCCACGTTCCCAATCCGTTTGAGAACAACCCCCAAATCTAGAAGAGGTGACCCGGGAGCGGCAGGGATCCGGGTGGGTGTCAGCCCCCGCCCTGGCCGGAGCTGTCCGAGTGGTTCACGGGGAGTGGGTGGGCCTCTGTGTTGAACACCCAGTCTTCCAGGGAGAGCATGTCATCTTCAGAGAACAGAAGATAGAGATACCTGTGTCCAGCGGGGAGGGAGCAAGACAGCCTGTCAGTGCTCTGGGGAAGGGGGATCTACTGCGAACAGAGCTCAGAGTGCGGGGGGGGGGGGGGGGGGGGCTCTGGGACAGGCCTGTGCCCAAGGGGCAGGGAGGTTGCAGACCCCAAATCTGTCCAGAGGGCCCATCCCTGAGAAGGAGCTGTGGATGCCAGGGGGCACATCGAGCTTTAGGCCAGATGGAGCTGCTTCATCCTGCCTCTGCCCCCAGCCCCCACTCTGTACCTCCCCCCAAACCAGCTTCCCCTGATGGAAGGAGCAGACCATTCCCATCCATCCTGAAGGGCTAAAGCACAAGGGACCTGCTTTAGGAAGCCGCGAGGAAATGGAGGCCAACTTCCACCCCAGAAAGGAGATGATGGCGCAGCAGCTGAACTCCTGTGGTAACTGGTACCGACATCATCCTGGTGATTACTCTGCCCATTTTACAGAGAACTCAAGTAACAGGTTGAAGCAGTTCACTTCTCACACAGCTAATGCCTGTGTGCATGGAGTCCGGCCCACCTCACTTTGCATGGAGAAACTGGCCTGGCCCAGGGCCCCCACCCTGAGTGAGACAACCCCCTGGTTCCCAAGCCCCCATCCCTCCTGGGATGGCAGAACCTGACTGATGGTGATGGTGGAGCCTGCCCCTCCCGCCTGTTCCCTGCCTCCCTAAGAAAAGATGGAGCTGCCTTCTGGAAAGAACTCTGGCCAAGCCCCCAACTCACTTTAGAGTCTCCGCCAGAAAGAACGTCTGCTGCTTGTTGTCGTGGTTGGGAACCTTACTGTACACGTCCTGGATCCCAGAGAACCCAGCTTCCGTCCGACAGTATTTCTCCAAGGCCTGAAGGAATGGAAGGCAGACTTGATATGGGGAGAGGAAAGGTCTCCCCAAGACTCACGCCTGCCCAGTTCTTTAACAGGCATGCGCCACCCCCCTTTGGCTGGCGACTGCAGCATTTGTGGGAGCAGCAGGCCAACTTCCTCTCTCAGGGTTCAGCTGCCCTGCGTGAGCAGGCTCCCTGGGCCCCGCCTGGGAACTCAGAGGAAGCTTTTCTGCCTCTCGGAGAACTAGACTGGCCTGACAGACTCCCTCACGGTGGCGGACAGAGGGCAGGGAAGGGGCCGGTGATGTTCCTGGCCTGGGATGTGGGGACTGGACTTGGCTCGCCCCAGGGATTCCCTGCAGAGATGTGGTCCTTGGGCCAGAGGCTGTGTCCGCCTTCTGCACAGAAATGCAAGGTTGACCCACTGAGCATCTATGGGTGGGGCCCAGGGGGACAAAACACGTGGCCTTCAATGGTCAATAACCAGGGTTCTCAGAAAAGGAGGGGGGCTCTGGCCAGTGCAGCGTGTCCGTGGGTCTAAGCAGGCCCTGCCCTCTGGCAGAACATGTGCTCTGGGTGGTCTGGGCCCCCCAGGGCAGTGGGCCAGGGCAGAACAACAGAGGGAGCTCAGCATCCATCCAGGAATCTTCTGGAGTCCCCACCTACCCCAAAGAGGGGACGGATTGGAGGAGCAGAACCCAGAGAGGGGGAAGCCCAGGGCTGGGCTGGCTTTGGGGAGAGGAGGCAGGTGAGCTGGCAGCCTGCTCCTGTTTGAGAGGAGAGATGGACAGCCACCTGTCCAGGCTTCAGGGTCAGAAGGCGGTGACCCTGTGTGTGCTGGGCCGCCTCTGGCTGAAATCCTGCGTTCGCCCCTCCAAATCTGCTGACACTACTCAGCACTCAGCCCTCTTCACAAGCTCCGGGCCTGCTCTGCCTGGCCAGCGACTCTTGGCCCTGCAACCCAACCTTGACCCTTGGCACTCTCAGCCTTAGCCAGATGCCAGCCTGGCTGGCCCTTCCTCTGGGTTTTGGACCCTGGCTGTGGTCAGCGGCCCCTGCCACCAGTCCACCACCCCCCGCCACTCACCATCACCACTTCCCAGCCCCACTCCCTGTAGATGGGGTCGTGGGTCTGCCGCCACAGGTACATGTAGCTCTCCACCACCTCCGGCCGTAGGATGTAGTAGCTCTCGCTCGTCTGTGTGGCCACGGCCTCTCTGCCCGAGTTAAACCAGAAGGCCTCGGGCCCCAGTTTGGTATCTGTGGGGAAATGACCAACCAGAAGCCTGGGTCAGACCTCCCATCTCCTTGCTCTTCAGGACCCTGCTGCCCCAGGACAGATGGAAGCCTCTGGAAGCCCTGACCGGGACTGGTTGGTGATGGATTGGCACGGGCTGGCCTGATTTGCCCGATAAGCTGCCTGGCAGAGGTATAGCTCCCCTCTTGGCCTAAGTTGGCCAAAGCAAGACCCTTAGGCCTTGAAACATCGGCAGTTTTAGACCCTGAGAATCCAAACGAACATCCCAGCAGTTCATCGAGACAAAAGTTTGGGTGGTGTGCCCCCCACTGTGTATTTTAAGACCTTAGTCCTGCTAAGATGTTAACCAGAGCTCAGTCAAGAAATGGTTGCAGGTTTAAGCACATTTGGGGAACAGTGGGTTAAAACCAAGTAAAAGTCTCTTGTCTGCCGACCCTTCTTTAACTTGCTAATGCAATGATGCTTCTCCATTGCCAGCCCCCCACTCCCCACCCCACCCCACCTTCTCTGGGAACCGCTTCTGACACTTTCCAGAACCGCCCTTCCAGAGCTGACGGTTTGCGAGACTGCTGAGGTGGAGATGAGGGAAGATTTGCCCAGAAGGCATACATATTCAGGCAGAGGGAGCTGAATAAAGAAGGCCTGCTTGAGGTCTGGGTTTTGCTGTCCTCGTCTGCTTTTGGTCAATTTGCTGCTGTTCCTATTTTCTTATAACCACCACTGCAGCCACCGTGGATGAGTTCAAGGGCTGGGCTGGGCGCTTTACATTCACTTCAATCCTTAAAGAAAATGTTGCTTTGGTTAAGGCAGATATTATCTGCCTCTCATGCATGTGGAAACTGAGGATCAGAGAGGCTATGTGATTTGTCCAAGTTAACACAGCAAGCTGTGGCTGAGCTGGGGTGTGACCCCGGATCCGTCTGATGCCCTTTCCCCAGGCCGTCCTCTCTCTCTCTTTCTCTCCTGGGTCCAGCTGTCTAGGTCCAAAATTTAGGGGATGTGGGTCAGATCATCTTCCCTTTAATGCCTGCCCATCCTGTCTGGTCAGCGAAGGGCCCAGCTCTGGTCCTAACGTGGCCCTCCCCTCCTCCCCTGAGGGCTCAGGACCCCTAGACCCTCTGGGCTGCTTTTTCTCAGGGACAGACTGGAGCTTTGCAGGACATCCTACTCATTCATGGAGGGCTTCACGGAAGAGGAATTAGGCAGACCCTGGCCCCTCCAATCCTCTCAAGTGGTGGAGCCGCTCATGGCCATCAGAACCCAGCCATTTTGCCAGGCTGCCAAAGGGGCGAGGGTGAGAGTGACCACGGCAGCCATCTGCGGCAGAGCCGGGCTGGCTGCAACAACATGCTCGATCAAGTGGACGGTCTTTGATGGTCTGGGCTGATTGTCCCCAACAAATAGCAAGCTTTTTATCATTCCTGAGATTTTCTGTTTGTTTACGGTGCTGACAGAGGCAGCTGTTTGAAGAGAACTGAAGACCAGTTTTAAGGACCCAGTGGGAATCGCTGGCCTCCTGAATACAGCCCCAGGAGCTCTGGATTCCACTGTTGGACTCACACACTCGTCTTCGGTGGACCATTAACAAATGTCTCCCACAATGCTGGCTGAAGGTGCAGGCTGAATACTTCCCATGGGGCCTAGGAGACCTGTGTTATGTTCCCATTGAACAGATGAGAAAACAGAGGCCACCAGCTGGGTGAGTGCCAGAGTGGTACTCAAGCCAGGAATTTTTTTTTTTTTTTTACTGCAAATCTTGCGTGGGTCCTCTCCTCCAACCAAAGCTGGGATTACAACTCAGAGCAGTGGGCCCCTTTTGGGGTCCCGGGGTGGGCATCAGAAGACCTGGGTTCCAGCCCCACCGAGCTACTCAGGCGCAGCGTGGCTTTGGCTTAGCCATGGTTTCCCCACCTGTACAATGAGGAGGTGGGTTCATGGTCACTAACGGCGGCTTCTGAGTTTAAAGTTTGGCAGTTCTGCCGTGAGGGCTGGCGGGGATGGTGCAGAAGCTCCTGAGCTTCCCCGGGGTTCTTGGATCAGAAGGTGATTATGCGGGTGGTGCCAGGAGGTGGTGAGACCCTCTAAATAGGAGGATTCCAGGGAGGAAAGACAGGGTACGTTGCAGGGTAGGGGCTCAGGGAGAAGCAATTTGCTAGGCTCAGGAAGCAAACGCTTCCAGCTCTGTGCCCCTCATGTGGGAACTTGGCTGGGTCACCTCTGAGCCTCAGTTTCCTCATCTGTGCTGTGAGGGTCAGCAATGATGGGTGTCGAGTGCTGAATGATACCTGGCACAGGCAAAGGGCTTAACACAACACCGTGTTCCCTGTAACTGAGGACATAGTCTTGGTATATGGATAGCACACCCCTCATTCAAATTCTGCGTAACCCCTAAGGTGAGCCAACCCTAAGTCCATGCGTTCCCTTCACTCACTGCCACTCTCCTGGTCTTTCCAGTTCTTCCTGCTGTCTAGCCTCAGTCTTTCCTGCTGCCCCTTCCCCTTGCAGGGTTACCTGAGCGGGCGTACGACTCGTGGCACGTCTTGGTGATCTGGGCTGCGAGCTCTCGGTAGTGGGCCCTCTTTTCTTCCTTGGCATCCTCAGCGCCAAGGGCGATCATGCCCCCGGAGAAACAGGCCAGGTGCCCCATCTTGTGGTCCAGGATCCCCCCTCGCCACTCGGCGATGTAGGTCAGCCCCCCGGGAGAGACATTCACCAAGTGGGTCTCTATTGCCTGGGAGCAAGGTGGGAATCGGGCAGGGAGGAAGGGCGAGGGAGGGCGTAGAGAAGGGAAGGGAGAGGACGGAAAGTGAACATTTTGGAGATGCAGCAAGCGCAATTCGCAATTCAAGCCCTCCATCCCAGACAAACAGGGCCTGCTGACCTTGGCTGGGGGTGGTCCCAGGCGGGGCTGGCGGGGGTTTCTGCCACTCACCCAGCTGAGGCCTGCTGCTTGCTGGGGCAGGGTGGGGGGCTTGGGCACAAGGCAGCTTCCCCAGGGTGAGTCTCTTATACAGATTTTTAAAAATCCTTTACGTTCAAACATTTTTAGAAAAGAATCTTTAAAAATTATTATCATTCTCCATTATATTCTCTGTTTCCTGCATTGCAGGCAGATTCTTTACCAGCTGAGCCGCAAGGGAAGCCCATATCCTCTGTTAAGGAATCTTAAAATGAAGCCTGGATGGCCTGTGGATGGGCTCAAGGTGGTCCAGAATTCCCCTAATATTGTATGTGACACTTTAGAGCATTTTCAAGGGAAGAGGATCAGTTATATTTGATCGGATTCTCAAAAGGGTCCACAGACAAAAAGAGCTGCCCCCTGCGAGCCCTTAACAGAGGCTTTCTCACTTAATGCCCATAATAAGCCAGGCACAGTGGTCGAGTGGCTTGTCCCAGGTTTCCCACCACACCAGGATCAGGACAAGGACCCCTACATGCCCACATCTGATTCCTTCCATGACCTGACAGCTGCTCCTCTTGGTGACAAGGGGCTTTCAGAGTTCCTCCCTGTTCCCCCAAGAGGTGACGCTGTGGGGAAAGACTCCCAGGATACTGGCGGGGGGGTGTAGGTGTCAGGCCATCACACCCCTGACTTCCTGCCGTTAGTCCCTGGGACTCCAGGAGTCCTGGAGACGGAGGTGATGATGGCAGCCACCCACACAGCGCAGGGCTGCACTCAGTGGGTCCTGCTCCAGGGTAGAGCCTTTGGGGGCCTGGCCAGGCCTCTGCCTCCACTGGTCCTCTCCCCTCTATTCTCTGGGGTGGGATGGGGGGTGGATCTTTGTACTCGGTAAATAGCGCATGTGTCTGCATCTTGGGCCTGTCTAATGCTCGTCCATGGTTTCCAAGTGCCCTAAGACAAAAGTCCAGCAGGGCCTCCGAGACTGTGATCTACACCGAGGTAGGCTCTGGTTCAAACTGCATCTCCACCAGCCCCAAGCCGTGTGACACTGGGCAGGTTCTCTGTTCTCTCTGTGCCTCAATTTCTTCATGTATAAAATAGGGGTAAGAGCACGAGCCACTTCACAGGGTTAGGAGGGTTCAATGTGACGTGTCTGCAGAGCTTAGCACGTTTCTTCGGGCAGAGAGGCCTTAATAAAGAGGCCTCTGGCAACTGGCTACCTCCAGCTCTGCCGCTTCCTTGGCAAGAATGCCCCTGTTGAAACCACGGCGGCCCCGTCATTCTACCACCCTGTTATCTCTCTATGTGGTGCTGGCCCCACGTGCCTGCTCCTATTTGTATACGAGTTTATGGGACATCTGCCTCCATCCCAGGGCTCTGAGCGCCAGGTGATGGCAGAAGCCACCATCGTCAACCACCAGCCAGTGTCTGGCACAGGGGAGGTGCTCAGACAACATTTGTTCCTTGATCTGTTTTTCTTTGCCAGAAAAAGCAGAGAGGCTGGCAATTTTGACTCCTCTCCAGTCTGCCCTCCGGCCTCACCCACTCCCTCCCTCCCCTTCCCCCGCCCTGGCCACGCCTTGTGCCCCCTCCCAGCCCCCAAGACATTTGTGAGCGCTCTCAGTGCCAGCACTGTGCTCCTTGCAGGGGATACAGCCCAGAAGATGGGCCTGGGCCCCAGGGAGCTCACCCGTGGGCACAGAGGCTTCCCAACAAAAGCAAATAAGCCTGAGAATCCTGACTTGTGATCATCATTTGAATAAAACAAGGGAATGAGACAGAAAAAAGCTTGGGGAGGCGGGGTGGTCCTATGCTGCAGAGTGAGGTCAGAGACGGTTTCAACGCTGGTGACTTCCACCAAGACCTTTTCTTCCTGCCTCGGGCTTTGTTGCAACTGCTGTTTCTCCAGCCCCAACTTGCTACCTCCAGCTCTGCCGCTTCCTCGGTGAGAATACCCACGTTGAAACCACAGCGACCCCATCATTCTACCACCCTGTTATCTCTCTATGCGGTGCTGGCCCCACATGCCTGCTCCTATTTGTATACGATTCTATGGGACATCTGCCTGCATCCCAGGGCTCTGAGCGCCAGGTGATGGCAGAAGCCACCATCGTCAACCCCCAGCCAGTGGCTGGAGCAGGGGAGGTGCTCAGACATCATTTGTTCCTTGATCTGCTTTTTTTTTGCCCTCCGCTGTCAGGCCCAGGCTGGTGGGCTGGCAGCAGGACCCTCGCTGAGCAGCAGATGGGGAAGCTCTGATGATGTGACTGATGCGACAGGGCACTGCTCTCCTTGGGAGGAGCACTGGGGCGACCTGCAGGGCTGCAGGGCCCCGACTCCTGGGCAGAGCTGGGTCCACCGCAGCTGCTGTGGAGCGTGCTGGTGTGGGGAGGGGCGGCAGGGCTAGTCCTGAGTGCAGAACCCTGGTTCAGTTACCCACTGTCAACAATTGGGAGAGCATCCAGACATCCAGGGAGATCCTAGGAAGCTTCGCACTGCAGCTGGAAATCTGCACCTTTAAGACTGTCTCCCATCGGTTAACCTGGAGACTTTCATGGAGAGAGGAGCCAGGCAGGCTACAGTCCATGGGGTCACCGCAAAGAGTTGGACATGATGGAGCGATGAACACTTTCACTTTCACCACACTAAGTAACTGTGGTAAAGAGTGAAAAGGTCGGCCAGTCTCTCTGAGGGTATAACTGAGACAAGTAAATGTAACGGTGAAAAGGCAAAGCCCAGCGCTTTCTAAAACCCTAAGCAAAACAAGAGACAGCACAGTCTGGCAACTGACCGGTAGAAAGGCTAAAATCATAGCAAGAGACAGAGCAAAGAGCTGAGTCTGAACCCCAGCTCTGCAGTCTGAGAGTTGCATGACTTTGGGCAAGTTGCTTTCCTTTTCTGAAGACTCTCTTTCATCATCTGTAAAACGGGAACAAAACTTCCTGGATGGTTACGAAGCCGCTCAAAGACTCTGGCTGAGCACGGGCAGCTCCTTCCTTTGCCTCCTGGAGGGCACCCTGTCTGCACCCCCCTGCGGCGGTGGTCAGACCAGCCAGGATCCCTGTGATTTGGCAGCTGGTAAGTGGAGGATCTGGAGTCAGTGAGACCTGTGTTTGAGCCCTGGCTGTGACACTTGCTACTGGGGGCCTTGGGCCTTTCTTTTTTTTTAATTAATTTATTTTTTAATCGAAGGATAACTGCTTTTCAGAATTTTGTTGTTCTCTGCCAAATATCAACACGAATCAGCCATAGGTATACATATGTCCCATCCCTCTTGAACCTCCCATCTCCCTCCCCATCCCACCCCTCTAGGTTTTTGCAGAGCCCGTTTGAGTTCCCTGAGTCAAACGACAAATTCCCATTGGCTATCTATTTTACATATGGTAATGTAAAGTAATGCTCAAGTTTTGAGCTAGCAAAATTGAGCTATCGAAGTAAAATTTTTGCTAAGTAAAGTAAAATTTAATATAGTAAAAAAGTAAAATTTAGAAAAAAACTGAGCTAGTAAAGTAATGCTCAAAATTCTCCAAGCCAGGCTTCAACAGTATGTGAACCGTGAACTTCCAGATGTTCAAGCTGGATTTAGAAAAGGCAGAGGAACCAGAGATCAAATTTCCAACATCCACTGGATCATTGAAAAAGCAAGAGAGTTGCAGAAAAACATCTATTTCTGCTTTATTAACTATGCCAAAGCCTTTGACTGTGTGGATCACAACAAACTGTGGAAAATTATTGAAAGTCCCTTGGACTGCAAGGAGATCCAACCAGTCCATCCTAAAGGAGATCAGTCCTGGGTGTTCATTGGAAGGACTGATGTTGAAGCTGAAACCCCAATACTTTGGCCACCTGATGTGAAGAGTTGACTCATTTGAAAAGCCCCTGATGTTGGAAAAGATTGAAGGCAGGAGAAGGGGACAATAGAGGATGAGATGGCTGGATGGCATCACCCAATCAATGGACATGAGTTTGAGTAAGCTCCAGGAGTTGGTGATAGACAGGGAAGCCTGGCATGCTGCAGTCTATGGGGTCGCAGAGTCGGACACGATTGACCAAACTGAATATAAGTTTCCATGTTACTCTCCCCATACATTTTACCCTCTCCTTCCTCCTCCAGACCTTGGGGTTTTCTAAGTCTCAGTTTCATGACCTGTAAGAAGGGGACCAAATAAGGCCAGGCATCCAGCACAGCTGCCTGGAGGAGACCACAGGACAGAAACTCCCTGTTCTTCCTGTTGTGCCTCCTCTTGATCCCCAGGGGTGTGCCTGCCTGTCTGTCTGAAACCCCCCCGCCCCCAAGCCCACCCTAGCAGGACATTGGTCTGACCTGAACATTGGAGGTCCTGAGGCAGCTTTCAGGGTGGTTGCCTGGGCCCCAACTCAGAGCTTTAAAGTAACCTTGTTGGGGTGCAGCCCGAGCACGGGGATTTTACACCTCCCCAGGTGATTTTTAACATGCCAACAAGGTTGACAACCACAAGAACATTTCTTCAAAGCCCCAAACTCGCCAGAGGCCCAGCCTCTACCCGGGGTCAGAGACACTGCAGGCTCTTCATTGGGGAGATCAAATGCCGGAGCAAAGCTGAGTTCTCTCCTGTTCAATCAAGTGTTTCTATAAAGCTCCCCGTTTGCTTAAATAATTCATGGCCATTTCTTCCCTTGAAGCCTCAACTACAGGGTGCCCCGAGGGCTGGGAACCGGGCTGCTCGTTAACTTTTCTGTTTATTCTGCGAGGAAGGCAGGAAGGGCCTCTCCAGGCAGCCCTGCTGGACCTTACCGCTAATCCTTGACAGATGCTGCAGGCTGCAGATTCAGCTCAGCCCAGAAACTCGGAGGGACGGGGCTGAGCCAGACTGAGCTGGGACTGGAGTCCCGGGACCTGTTTCATGACTGAGGTCTTGGCGCTGGGGATCTGGGCAGGGGAAATTCAACACTGAGCCCACAGTTTTAAGGGGTCCACAGCTCTGGAGGGCTGTTCCAGTGTGTTTCCTTGAAGGACTACCATTCCTGGCCAGATTCAAGTGATCAGAGCGTAGTTAGATGTCATTCATCCATCCAATCGCTGCCCACACACATTCATCCACCTATATCCACCCATCCAGCCACCCGCTCACACACCTTTCCTCCCTGCCTTCCTCCCCACTTCCCTTTCTTCCATCCCTCCACCCACCTATCCATCCATTCAGTCATCCATCTGTCCCTCCTTCCTTTCTTCCCGCCCTCCCTCTATCCATTTATTTGCTCACAAGATAGTGACTGCATGGCCCCTAGGTACAAGCGCTGTTTTGGGAGTGAAACACACAGTGAATGAGTAGACAAGGCCCTTGTACTAGACAGCTCAGGAAGAGAGACCATAAACAAGAGAACAGGTAACACACATGTGATCATTTTAGATGGTGATAAAGGTAGAGACGACTGATAATGAGCCTGAGGTATGTGAGAGAGAGAGAGGCCGGGGAAGGCTGATTCTGTGGCTTTTGAATTGACCAGCAGGCAGGACCCAGCCACGTGAATCATAGTCCAGGTAGGAGGGAGGTACTAGAGCTCTGAGGTGGGAATGAGCTGGTGTGCCTGAGGAAGGCTGGGGACCAGAGCTCAGAGGGCAAGGGGGACAGAGAGAGGTCAGGGTGATTGGCAGGCCTAGGTCAGGGACTGTGGGCAAAGGCGAGAAGCCTGATTTATTCCAAGTGCTGAGCAGCTGTGCGGGGAGGGACATGCACTTACAGCTACTGGGGCTGCAGTGGAAAGACTGACTTAGAGTGGGGAGGGGTGAGCAAGGAATCCAGGTAGCTTCGACCAAGGTGGGAGCAGAAAAGATCCAATGGACTCAATGTACTTTATGAGGAAACTGAGGCCCCTGCCTTTTCTTTCGTTGGGCTCAAAGGTATCTTATCAGTGAGCTGCTGGGTTCCAACCCGCTTCAGAATAGCCTAGGCTAACTGGCTGCCCATCAGTCCCACGGTCTCTGCCCCTTTGGCCCATCTGAGCCTAGCATCCTTGTTCATGCCATGCCACATGAACTGACCGGCTGAGAGACAGTGGGGAGAGCCTGGGGGGTTGGCTTTGGAGACTTGCTTTTAGCTGGAGTTCTGCCCCTTCTGTGCTGTGTGATGCTGAGCCGGTGCCTTCCCCTCTCTGGGCCCGGAGTCCATCCGTGTCAAGAGAAGGAACAGAATGGGGTGCTCCACTGGGGTAGGCTCCTCCCAGCTTGGATGTGCTAATTATGTCCCCTGTTTCAGCCGGAAGATAGCTGAGGGTCTTGCTTTGGCCGCCTCCCTTGGGGGCCCCTGTGTTCTGGGTTCTGACACAGCAGGAGCGCAGACCCTGCTGCGGTTTCTGCATCAGGCTGCCTGCTGCTTCCCCTGAGGCCTCGGACAAATGACTTCATCGCCTTCAGCCTGGGTTTTGCATTTGTAAAACAAGGGGGCTGACAAGGCCCTGATTTCAAGGTGTTTGAGAAGAGTCACAGACAGGGCGTGCAGAGCGACAGGCTGGCGAGGGGACAGTCTCGGGGTTCCTGCTCACCGTGGGGTGCAGGGGTAGGCAGAGGTGGGTGGGGGGCAGGCTCCCAGCTCTCAGGGACCCTCGGGGAACTGGCGGCGAGTGACCAAACCACCCATGCAGAGTCAGGAGCCTGTCTTACCTCCAAGGCTTCGTAGTACATATCTTTAGCTTCCATATCTGTTTTGGCCGACATCAGCCAGGACTTGATCAAATATTCATAAAAACTGTCCCCGAGTCCTCCAACCGAGACGTGGTCTGTGAGGGGAGAGAGGACAGGAATATCATCACCACCGGCCGCAGGCAGGACTCACCGGGTGAGCTCGGCGGGGAGTGTGCATTTAATCCCTGGCCTTGGAGACCCCAGCAGAACGGTTCAGGGGTGCCAGGAGAAAGGCGTGGCCTGCAACTGGGGGCCACCGGGGCAGCTTGAGCTTGATGGCCCCACACAAAAGTGCAGGGGCTCCTCTGGCTGCTATAAATCATGTCGTTTAGCAGGCGGAGGATGGCAGGGCCGCTGGTTATTAACTGTAAATGAGTTGCATTTCTTTAAAAAGATAATCTGGTGGCAGGGAGTTCAGAGATTTTTTATTACCCGGTGCCAAACATGGTAATTAATGCTGGGCAGGTTCATAAAAGGCCACGGGAAGGAGGAATGAGAGGCTTAATTTAGTCGGTCAGAGCGCACAGCTATTCTGAAAAAGCCAGGTTTAAATTTAGCCAATTGGGACGAAGAGAGTTCAAAGGAGCAGGGGGAGGAAAAACGGGGTTGGAGGACCTCTCCGTCTGCCCTGGGGGAGCAGGACCTCCAGGCGTGGCTGGACGAGCAGGTGTCCCCATGCAGGGCAGCTCCAAGAGAGTGACAACTGACAGAGGAGCACTTAATTACAGAAGCAAAAGCGCACTCCACCCCCATTAACAGGCAACATCAAGGCATTTAGTAGATACGACAAGGAGCGAACTGCGGTTCCTGGTTAAGCAGGGAGACAGAGAGAGGAAGGAAAGGGGCTGGATGAAGGCTGCTGCTGCTGCTAAGTCGCTTCAGTCGTGTCCGACTCTGTGCGACCCCATAGATGGCAGCCCACCAGGCTCCCCCATCCCTGGGATTCTCCAGGCAAGAACACTGGAGTGGGTTGCCATTTCCTTCTCCAATGCAGGAAAGTGAAAAGTGAAAGTGAAGTCACTCAGTCGTGTCCGACTCTTAGCGACCCCATGGACTGCAGCCCACCAGGCTCCTCCATCCACGAGATTTTCCAGGCAAGAGTGCTGGAGTGGGGTGCCATTGCCTTCTCCTGGATGAAGGCGGGGCGTGGGAAATGGAAAGAGGATTTTCAGCTCCTCTGGAGAAAGAGGGGGCCGAAAGAGAGGGGAGGGGAAGGGGTGGGGGCAAGCACGGCTCAGGCCGTCTCCCAGGTTCGCCCCACCTGGAAAGGATTTCCTCCGTGTCCCCACAGGGGGCCATGAGGATGGGGGGAAATGCGGTCGCTGTGGCCTCTGGCCCGGGCCCCCCCCTGCGGCAGGCGCTGGGTGACAGCGGCCCCCCACCATTGCTGGGAGCTGTATCGTCAGGATGTCTGTGGGTCTGCCTCCCCCGCTAGGCTGTGGGCCGTGTGGGGAGGGACCATGGGAGATTCCACGGCACACAGCGGACGCCCCAGTGGGCCCCGAGTGAGAGAAAGGCGAGCAGATTTGGGCTGTGCTGGGAAGGACCTTGAAGGCCACGCCAAAGAGGCTGGACTTCATCATGTGGGTGCAGAGCGTGGGTGAGCGACGAGGCCCAGGGCTTCACCTGGCAGGTGTGTGTGGGAGAGGGGAGCCAGGTCAGCAGGTGTCCCACAGTTGTTTGAGACGGGACCGCCCCCTTGGGATGTGCGTAGAGTTTCACAGGGCCTTGGCTGCAGTGCATAGTTCTCATCTGGAGGTCCTGCTGCTTTCTAGGCTGTGTGTGTGTGATGTGTGTGTGATGTGTGATGTATGTGTCTGGGCGATGTGTGTGGGTGATGTGTGTGATGTGTGATGTGTGTGTGTGTGTGTGTGATGTATGTGTCTGGGCGATATGTGTGGGTGACGTCTGTGATGTATGTGGTGTGTGTGATGTGTGTGTGTGACTGTGTGTGATGTGTGATGTATGTGTCTGGGCGATGTGTGTGATGTGTCTGTGTGGGCGATATGTGTGTATGATGTATGTGATGTGTGATGTGTGTGTGATGTATGTGTCTGGGCGATGTGTGTGGGTGATGTGTGTGATATATGTGGTGTGTGATGTGTGTGTGTGATTGTGTGTGTGATGTGTGTGTGGACAATGTGTGTGTGTGATGTGTTATGCGTGTGATGTGTGTGTGATATGTGTGATGTGTGTGTGATGTATGTGATGTGTGATGTGTGTGTGATATGTGTGTAATGTGTGTGGGTGATGTGTGTGATGTGATTGTGATGTATGATGTGTGTGTGATGTGTGATGTGTGTGTGTGATGTGTGATGTGTGTGTGATGTGTGATGTGTATGATGTATGATGTGTGTGAGTGTCTGGGCAATGTGTGTGTGTGATATACGGGATGTGTGATGTGTGTGATGTGTGTGTGTGTAACGTGTGTGGGTGATGTGTGTGATGTATGTGATGTGTGATGTGTGATGTGTGTGAGTGTCTGGGCAATGTGTGTGTTGTGAGTGTGATGTGTGATGTGTGTGTGTTGTGAGTGTGATGTGTGTGTGATGTATGTGATGTGTGATGTGTGTGATGTGTGATGTGTGTGATGTGTGTGATGTATGTGTGTGATGTATGTGATGAGTGATGTTATATGTGATGTGTGTGATGTGTCTGGGCGATGTGTGTGTGTGATGTATGTGATGAGTGATGTGTGTGTGATGTGTGTGATGTGTGTGTGTGATGTATGTGATGAGTGATGTGTGTGTGATATGTGTGTGTGATGTGTGTGATGAGTGATGTGTGTGATGTGTGATGTGCGTGTAATGTGTGTGGGCGATGTGTGTGTGTGTGATGTATGTGATGTGTGATGTGTGTGTTGTGAGTGTGATGTGTGTGTAATGTGTGTGGGTGATGTGTGTGATGTATGTGATGTGTGATGTGTGTGTGATGTGTGTGATATGTGTGTGTGATATATGTGATGAGTGATGTGTGTGATGTGTGATGTGTGTATGTGATGTATGATGTATGTGATGTGTGATGTATGTGATGTGTGTGTGATGTGTGATGTGTGTAATGTGTGTGGGCGATGTGTGATGTGTGATGTGTGTGATGTGTCTGGGCGATGTGTGTGTGTGATGTATGTGATGTGTGATGTGTGAGTGTTGTGAGTGTGATGTGTGTGTAATGTGTGTGGGTGATGTGTGTGATGTATGTGATGTGTGATGTGTGTGATATGTGTGTGTGATGTATGTGATGAGTGATGTGTGTGATGTGTATGTGTGATGTGATGTGTGTGTGTTGTGAGTGTGATGTGTGTGTAATGTGTGTGTGTGATGTATGTGATGTGTGATGTGTGTGATATGTGTGTGTGATGTGTGTGATGAGTGATGTATGTGATGTGTGATGTGTGTGAAGTGTGTGTAACGTGTGTGGGTGATATGTGTGTGTGTGTGGGGTCTTCCTACACCAAGGGGCACAGGGGAGGAGTGCAGGAGTGGGAATTAGAAACATGGATCTGCCATTAGCTCAGGACAAGTCAGACCCCGCCGGGGCCTCTGTCTCCTGATTTGTAAAATGCCGATGGGAGCATGAGTTTGTGCGCCTGAGTGGAACTGGATTCTTCTGCTTCCTGACCGTGTCAACAACACTCCCATCACACTTGGCAGCAGGAGGCGGCCACCCTACACGCCTGGGAATCGCCGGCAGGAAAGGAGCGCAAAGCTGGGGAGACGGCCAGGCTGCAGCTGGCAGGATGCTCACGCTCCTACGCCCACGGGGGAGAATCCAGGCTCGCTACATCCCTCCCACCGAGGACAGTGTGGGATTTAGGCAGTGGACAAGGAGGCCAAGCCACTCCAGGGGCCAAGCCGGAGGGCTGGCCACTCTTCAAGCTCTCGGCGGCTCTGCTGGGGCCGGTCTCATCTTGGTGCTTGGCGCCAGTAGCAGCCTGGTGGACTTATCCTGGCTGCGACATCCTGGGGCGGGAGGGTCTCGGCCTCTCGCTACCCTGAGGCCCAGCTTCAGGCAGGAGTGGGGACTGGGCAAGGGCATGGGTCTAGTCTGGGATGCAGCCCCAGTCAGTCCTTCGCCTCCTGAAGCTGCAACATCTGCGGCTGCAAGTGAGCTACACAGAGGATTCAAGGAGAGATAAGAACGCGAACTTGGCTTATGCAAGATGGGAATGGTATCATCTGTTGGAAAATCACACAGTCATCCAGAAAACAAAACCAAACCAAACCCAGTGAAAACCACAGAAAACCTGAGATGACCCCTGGCACCAAAGCCAGGGCAGGAGGAAGGCAGGTGCCCAGAGGAGCAGGGCTTTCTTTATAACCTTCCCTCTGCAATTCAGTGGGCCTCGGCTTCATATTTTATTAATAGGAAACAATTTTCCATATGTGACTGAGTCTGCCCAGCCCTGCGACCCTGGGTGCAGCCTGCAAAGAAAATTATGCTTCTCAGCAGGGCTGGGGAAGGCAGGGAGGCTCCCCTGTAATTTGCCAAGGTGGCCCTTCAGGCTGGGGAGCCACGCCCCTCGCCCCCTGGTAACGGGTTTTGCCGCACTGTCCTGGAGCAGCTAGGGCCGGCAGCTGCACAGTTTATCTCTTCATCCAGTCAGGCCTTGCAATTAAAGGCAGTAACAGTTATTGAACTGTCTCATCCCGTGGCCATAATCTGTAATTCAAACCTTCATTTTCCCCTGGCACTTCTGAATTTGGTAGTGTGTTTTCATTACAAATACTTTGCATTTCTCCAAATGGTTTTTGCAGGAGGCTCCTTGGGAATGAGGTCATCACCAAGGAAAATTCCCGGGTCGAATTTTCTGGGTCTCCTGGACCTGCGGATCCCAGAGGCTCTGGCTTGGAAGGACAGGTCTTTGTAGTTTCCTCACAGTATCCCTGCCAGCTGGCCAGCTGGCCCTCCAGGCCCTGCTTGCATACTTTTGGTAATGGGTGCTTATTACCTGTTGTGACAACCCATGCCATCTTTTTTTTTTTTAATTTTTTTTTTTTCAGTCTTTTTTTGAATTTGTGATGATATCACTTCTGTTTTATGTTTTGGTTTTTTGGCCTTGAGGCATGTGAGAGCTTAGCTCCCCACCAGGGATCCAACCCGCACCCTCTGCATTGGAAGGCAACTTCTTAACCACTGGACCGCCAAGGAAATCACAGCCCGTGTCATCCTTGGAAAATGAACCGAAATCTGTTTACTGCAGCTTTTGACCATTGCTCCCACACCCCTCCATAGGACACAAAGATTATATCTCCAGCTCTTCTCCCATTTTGCAAGAGAGGAAACCAGGGCTCAAAGAGAAGAAGTGACATTCCCACTGTCCTCTGCCCCCCAGGGTGGGCAGGAGTTAGACTCAGTTTCACCTTGTCCCTGAGCCCTTGCTGATGATATTACAACTGGGGTTGGAAACAGGGAAAGGGGTAAGGCAAAACAAACAAACAAACAAACAAAAACAGGTAAGGGGAAACGGAAAGGGTCCTTGTCTGGTAAGAGGCAGTGGAGGTGGGGACTCTGGATGAGTCTCGGGAAGCCCTGAGAGGCAGGGCGCATGGAACCAATTTGCGCTGTGATCACACGACTAGGGCCTTGGTCAAAAAGACAAGGCAGAGCCGGGCTTCCCGACAGTGGGGCAATACTGGAGGCTGGGAGACTTTAACACTCCCCTGGCTGGGAGTTTCACAAACACATTCTGTTTCAGTGGGTGGAGCTGGGGGCTGTGAATGAGGCTCCAGAGGTGACCCATGACTGGTTGGAAAAAAAAAGCCTCTGAACATAAACAGCTGGAAATCCTAGCACCAGTTCTTATAGGTGTAAGATATGAGTGAGGAACTCATGCTTTTTATGTTGCTGTATAGGTAGGATCTGCTTAAATGTTTTTGTAAGAAATTAAAGTTGGAGGAAGGGAACCAGACGAAGCAGGGTGGGAGGGGACTGCCTGGCTTTTCTTGGAGCCACGTTTGGGGTAAACTTCTAAGTGGAGCACTCTTGCAAGTTTGGGGGAGGATGAAGGAGGTTTCGGTGGGCGTCGGAAGAGATGGAAGCTGGGGATGGCTGGCACGCGGGCGATGCACAGGGCGGGCCTCACCTCGTCACAACGGCAATGGCAACAGCAATGAGCACTCCCGAAGGCGGCGGGCAGGAGGGTGGTACCCAGGAGCCCCGAGCAAATGCATCACCCCTCCCTGGGCCCAGGTGCCTTGCACAGCCTGGCGGGCGAGGAAGCTGGGCAGAAATCCAGTGGGCCAGGGGCACCTGTACTCACGTTGCATCCAGTTCCCGCTCACCGGGCTGAGGAAGTTGGGGTAGAGGCCGAAGGGCTTGTCAATTTCCCGAAGGACTTTTCGGATGTTCCTGACCTGCCAAGAGATGGACCGCCAGGCACATCTTTACTTTCTCCAAGAAGCCAGTCAGCTCCCAGCCCACTGAGGACCAGGGTCGCTGATTCCAGTCCAGAGAGGAAAACAGCCCGACAAGGAAGGAAGGGAGAGCTGGGTAACCAGCAGTTGGCTCCAATCTGGAGGTCAAGAGAGGGGCGTGGCAGGACGTGGCCACAGTGGGGCCTGACCCCCCCAACCTCTGCGCTAACCGATCTGCCAGGGGCCCTGCCAGTCTCCCCTTTCCCACCTCACCCCTTCCTCACTGTGTGTGGATTTAGGGGACGAGTCTTTTTACGAGGGGCTTCGTATAAGTGATAGTCGCTCATTTGTAAGTGCTAGACAAAGCTGTCTTTTTAACAGTCAGAAATGGTTAAATATTGGCAGTTTCACATAGCTCAGTCTGGTAATACGTTGTTTTATCTGACATGGTAGGAACCATTCCAGAAGGGAGGCTCCTTAGCATCCTTGTGCCCTAATAGGCGTCTCGGGGTTTTAATAACAACTGCCACAGCTGTTAACATTTCTCAGTTGCTCTGAGCCAGACCCATCTGATACATGATCGCCAACCCTCCTAACAATCCATACGGGATTATCATCTCAGTTTAACAGACAAGAAACCAGGATATCAGAGAGGTGCAGTCACTTGCCCGTGGTCACAGGGCTTGTAAGTGGCAGAACCAGGGTGTGAGTATGGTCTGTCCGTCCACACGGAGTGGCCCCGGGTCCAACAGGGATTAGGGCAGGGATCCGGCGGCAGCGTGCAACAGAGGCTGCCCCTACTGGGGCAGGAGGCTGAATCCGCAACCTTCGGGGCTGTGAAGGGCATGACATGGGATTCAGCAAGGCTTTATCCATCAGGGCCTGCTGTCTGGCAGAACATGAAGTCTTCCGGTGCACGCTGCAGGACAGAAATGCCCTTGGGGACTGAGCTGGAGCGTGCTCGCAGACTCATCTGCAAGCCGAGGAGCAGCGTTTTAGCTGTCAGACCTTTCTTTTCGGGCACAGAAGCTCATTCGCACTTTGCTTTGCCACATCAGATCTCACATCTACTTATGCTAACGGAGTCCATTATGGGGGACAGGACTGTGCTTGCACCTGAGTTATTCTTGATTGTCCTGGTGGTGAGCAGTGAAGCGGGCTAAATGAGCTCCCCTGGAGGGTCCGGGTGCTTCCAGAATGGGGGCCAATTTGTTGACTGCCAATAATCGCCTGTGTGAGAGGCATGACTGGGGGAATCAAAGGAGCTGGAGAATGTAAATGTAGCGACAGAGAGATGGAGGGACTCTTGTGAAAAAGCTGGAAGCCTGCTGTACTGATCTGGTCTTGTAAGAGCATGGGTTTCAGGGCCAGAAAGTCCTGGGTTTGAGTCTCGGCCTAATCACTAACCAGAGGGATGACTCAGGACAGGTGATTGAACCTCTCTGGGTCTCAGTGTCCTCCTCTGTCAGATGGGGATAAAAGAAGTCACACCTCACCGGCTTGGTGGGAAAATCGGAGCCACTGTAAGTGCCCAGCACATCGTAGGTGCTCAGGCAGTGGCCTCTCCAGTCTAGCAGGAACTAGAGCAACTCCTCGGCTCACTCCTCTCTGAGCCAGCCATGGTATTCCTAGAGGAGTCTGGCTCAAGAGCAGTGGAAATAGGGAGGCTGGGGGCAAAAGGACCAGAGACCAGAATATAAGATTCATCAGAAGTGGGATTGAATTTACTCCATGAGCTCTGGAGGTGGGGTGTCCCGGGAAGGCAGAGACCTCTCAATATAAGGAGGAGCTTCTGAAGGGAGGTCTGACAACATGAGGGGCTGTTTAAGGGTGGTAGTGAGCCCTAGGGCAGAGGAAGTGATCCAGGGGTTGAAAAACTCTTCTTGAGATTCTTTAGAAAGCTTGGGTGGATTCCCACATTGCATAAGCGGTAGTCCTCAACCTGGCATCAAAAAGCACATGGGTTCTGTTTTTTTTTTTTAAAGACTTTTTTTTTTTCTGATGTGGACCATTTTAAAAATCTTTATTGAATTTGTTAAAATATTGCTTCTGTTTTATGTTTTGGTTTTTCAGGCATATGGGATCTTATGTCCCCGACCAGGGATCAAATCCACACCTTGCTACCCTGCACTAGAAGACAAAACCTTAACCACTGGGCCTCCAGGGAAGTCCCGTATGGGTGCTTGTTTAAAATGCAGATTCCTGGGTTTGGGATGACACTCAGAAATCTGCTTCTTCACCAGCCAGAGTGCTAGGTGATGCTTTGAGGCAGGTTGGCTGACGTAAGCCAGCGTGCAAGGTGATGCTTTGAGGCAGGTTGGCTGACGTAAGCCTGGGAGCCACCGGTAGTGTGTGACTCTGTGACCCGCTGGCTCCTTTGGCATTCTAAGAGACTAACACAGGACCAGGGAAGAGAAGGCTTTGGCAGTGGGGGGGTGGGGGGGGTGGGGACAGTGGTCTCCTGCTTCCCGGAGGGCAGGGCTTTATGTCCCTACAGGGCCAGGACTCGGGAAGGGACAAGCGCCATCAGTGGTTGGTGTGTGTCCACTTTCCTTCTTTGGGTTTAGAGTTAGATCTACGGGGACCCTTCCAGATGGGACTGCCCCGGGCTGTGACCGTGAGAAACCACTCCTTCCGGAGGGCTTCATGGGACAGGGGCAGCTGTCAGGAGGGACAAAGGCCTGGACACTGGCTCTCTGCACCTCTGTGGTCTTAGCCAGCCCGGTAACTGAGAAGGAACAGACATGAGCCTCTGCCGCGGAGGGAAATCGCTTTGCCAGCCTGCTGACAACATGAGCTAGACGGGCGTCTGGAAGCGCTAAGGCAGGCAGATCTCACTGAAGAAGTTAAATGTCTCTGGAAAGGGGACTTCGGTGCCGGGTGGCCAGTTCCTGCCAATGCAAGCTGGTGCCTGGATTTCCCTGGTTGTACTTACTCCGGATTTCACACGTGTGTGGTTGCCACCGAGCTCACACGTATACCAGGGAAAACCTTCTCGCTGGCAGCCATGTCTCTTCCCTGCTTACTCCTTGTCCTCACCTTCCCTGCCGCCTGGCATCGGGTACAACTAGGCAACTATTTGCTCCTCTGGCCCTGGCTGCGGGCTTTCAGCTCCCGCGCTCCCCACCCTCAGCTGGCCCGTGCTCCATCTCCCCATCAGAGGCTGAGTGTTCACCCTCTGCTCTCTGCAAGGGAAAGAAGGAGCGGAGAGACTTGCCTTTTCTGCGAAGACCTGGTTGCCAGAGAGCTGGGTGAGGTGTAAGAACTCCAAGTGCAGAGACCCAAACTCCGCCAGGATGCTGCTGCTCCCTGCCATGGCCCAGCCCCAGCTCCTGTTGGAGCCGCTGAAAAGACAGAAGCAGTCGGGGTCACCCCTGCCGGCGGGGCTGGCTCCTCTGCTACGTGGGGGAGCACCTACTATGTGCTGAGCACTGGACTAGGAGCTTCACCATCCCATCCCAGTGAATCCTCCCTGGCGGTCGATACTGTTCGTACCCCAGTTTTAGTATGTGTGCTGCCGAAGCCAGCACATACCCTAGTTTATCTGATGAGGATGTTCAGGTTGGTGAGAAACTCGCCTACAGGTCATTTAAACCCAGGGCTGTCTGACAGGCAATAGTCTTCATTTCTATGGTCAAGCAGCTCCTGTAAGACGTGTGGGCTCTTGAAGGACGTAAGCAGAGCTGCCTTGGTGGCCAAGACCTGGCACAGGCGTGATGCTAAATTTACAGGCAATAGGGATAATGCTGTCAGGGACCACAAAGACCCCCCAGAACATTCTATTTCCACCCACTTGTTCAAGGGCAACTGATGGCTCACAATCATTGTTGCTGCGTGTGGAGGGTAAATAGTGCATGGCTGGGGTCCAAAGTGGGGGATGACGAGAGGGACCCCGCTTGGCCCTTTTTCCTTCCCTCCACAGTCACTGCTGCCCATGGACTCACAGCGGCCCCCATCTGGAACTTTGTGGAACCCACACCTGAAGGGTGGATGGCTCTTCTAAGACCACCCACCAGGGACTACCAGACCCTGGGAAGTCTGAGGTTAGGGATGAAAGCTGCAGGGGCTCTCTGAGCAAAGGTCTCCCCGCCGCAGAGATGCACGTGTCTCATGAACACCTTACATGGATCACCAGCATGCCTTGGCGACCCCGCCGGAGAAGGCTGTCAGCTAACTGTGTCCTCCCTTTCCTTGAAAGTACTGGGTGCTTTCAAGGAGGAAGAGTGCAGGCAGGGCCTCGGGCAATCCTCCCATCTGCCCCTTTCACAGGTGAGGAAACCAAGGCACAGGGTGGTGACGTCACTGCCTGAGATCACACAGTTAAGTGGAGCAGCTGGGACCCTGGCTCCCCAGTAGCTGGCCTCTGTCTCTTAAGGACAGGACCTAGGAGGGCAAGTGTGGGTCTGGGAGGTCACAGTTTGCCAGCTGAGGGGCCCTGCTTTATCTGGGTGGGCTGGGGCTCCCCCAAGGTTGCCTTTCTCCTCTCTGATGTGGTTTCAGGGAACTCTTGCAGCAACAGATGGAATCGAGTTCAAGGATCTTTTGGAGCAATGACCTCAATAAACACACCCGCTTCCTTGGGTGTTACTCTGACTCTGGGCAGGTGGGGAGGGAGGGGTTGCACAGAGGGCAAATTTGAATTCTAGATAGTAAATAAAACAGCTTCCAGATGCAGGCACTGGGGCGGGCCGTCCACATCATGACTGCATTTAAAGCCCACAAGTTTAAGCACCGTTAATCCCTGAGGAAAGCAGAGAGGGAAGTGAGCTGCCTTTAGAAGCTCAGAACCAGTAGGTGGTGGAGGCAGGATTCGAATTGAGATCTGTTGGCCTTGGCCTCAGGGGTCCTTCAGATGGCCCCATATCCACCCCGAGAGAAGGGGAAGCTGACCCCTCTGTGTCCCTCTTCCCACCAGGCCAGGAGACCTCTCTCTCCAGCCTGTGACCTCAGTGGGAGCCTCAGGCACCACAGAGGGCTTCCTGAATAATTGAAGCCTCCTGCCCTGGCAGAGAAACTCAAGGTAAACAAACAAACAAACAAAAAAGCCCCAGCCATCATCAGCAGTCTTCTGTTCTCCTTTTCCTTACAGGAAAGAGCCTCTCCTTCCTTCCCCTCCCTCCCAGTACTCACCCTCCCAAGGGGACCTTCAGTGGTGCAGTCGCCCCTGGCAGGGGCAGGCGGTGGGCCAGGCACTTCCCTTTCTGCAACCTGGCCTCACATACTGGCTCCCCTAGTTCCCAGCTAGGGGACCTCAGGCGGGTCAGGGAATTCCTGCAGACCCCGGTCTCCTCATCTCCACACCTCAGAGAGTCATGGTAAGTTACAAATCACACACGCGATGACTGTCGTTGTAACCATTACGTATTAATGCACATTAAATTATGTTGTCTGTTAGAGTTAAGTTCTTGATATGTGCCAGGCAGCAGCGGTATTTAATTTTACCTTCACATCCAACTGCAGGGGTAGATAGCAAGATTCTTATTTCACAGGTTAGGACAGTCAAAGTCAGAGAGGGGAAGACACTTTTCCAAGGTCACACAGTAACTGATAGTGTTAGCTGAGCTGAAACCAAATCCAAATCCTAGGTCCTCTGTGCCCCTAATGCATCCGTTCTGGGCAGCATCCATTCGGAGATCAGGAGGTCTTCTGGTCAGCCTGTGACTGGTGGGCTGACGGAAGCGGGTCTGCTCCCCTTCCTGCCTTTTATGCCTGCAAGTGGGCCTGCAGCCTGCCTTCTCTCCCCTGGTGTGAGGGGCTGCTCCATAATACCGCTCCCCAGCCTGGCAGAAGCGTCTGTGTGTGTGTTACCTGTGTGTGTACACATGTGGATAGTATCAACACAATCATTAATTCTGGAACCAGACAGAGACTGGATTCTAATTTCTAACTTTGCTGCTGTGTGACCTTGGGTAAGTTACCTTACCTCTCTGAGTCTGTTTCATCACTTTAAACTGGGGTCCATGTGGTTGCTGTGTGATGAAGAGAGAGAATCCGTAACGTCGTGCCTGGGACACATAGTGACCATTCGACAAACCTGCATAATTATTACCACATGGATGCATGTGTGTGGCAGAAGTGTGCACTTGTAAACACATATTTGGGTGTGAATCTGTGCACATAGGGATGGGAGAGCGTGTGTGACAAAGGTGAGGCTGGATCTCTGAGACTTCATGATTAGGGTGAGTGGCAGTGGGGTGCACATGTGTGTGTGAGCCTGAGTGTGTGAAAGCTACCTGGAGAGGCGGATTCAGCTGCAGGGGCCCTGGGACTGGACACCTCCCCTCCCCCAGAGTCCAGTGGTCCTCCAAGTCAGAGGTCACGGCTGCCCCTTGCCTCTGCCTCCCAGGCCTGCCGCCAGGGAGGAGGAGTGGTTACGCTCACGCAGGGACCACCACCCCTCAGGGTCCTCCTCCGAGTTACTGCCCCTCCTCCTGGGGCCCCAGGCAGAGCTGCCCAAAGCCAGCCCCGCGCTGGGCAGGGGCAGCAGCGTGGACCCTGCTCGGCCAGCAGGCCCTGTCCAAAGGCAACACTCAGCACCACGCCCCCAGGGCTGTATACATCCCTGATGCTTTCCCTGGTGGAACCAGGATGCATTTTTAGCAACAGACTCTCTTACCCAGAAAATGAGAGGGCGGTGTTGCCAGGAAATATGCATTTACATACATATGTATACAGCACCGGCAGCATGCAAACAGCCTAAAAATAAATGCGCTTTCTTAATCAGAAATGTCAGGATCTGTGTGAGATCAGGTCTGGGTTCTGAGGGACCCAGGAAAGGCGGGCAGTCAGGGCCGTGGCGCATGGGGCTTGCTGGGAGTCAGGGGAGGGGGGTGCCACGTATGGAGGAGGGAGGGGTGCCTGAGCTAAGGTCTTATCCCAACCCCGGGCAGGAAGGCCCAAGAAGCTAGACCCAGGACAGAGTCAGAATCACAGGGTGCTTATGTCTTGGCTCCGAGACATCTGGCCATGTTTCTCCAGATTCAGTGTTTGTGGGAAAGGAACCTGAAAAGAGATCCAACTGTCCACCTCTGAGAAGTGAAGCCTGGCACCGAGATGGTGCTTCAATGGGTCCCTAGGGTTCCTCGCTGGCCTGTTACAGAGGCTGAAGTGACATCACTCCCCAGGAATCCTTTCAGACCAGAGATGGTAAGTCAAGATGCCCAGCAGGCCGAGTCCCCTCTTCTTTGCAAGGTCCTAGAGGGTGGGACCTCTTCCGGACAGACGGGGAGGTGGGGACTCGACCTGAGCCCAGAGACTCTGCCTACCCTCCCCGGTGGGGCTGAGATTCCTGAGATAAGAAACTGCTTCAGGAGATGGGACGGAAGTTCAGTGTGATGGAAATATTACAGCCCTTCCCCCAGGGTCGGGCTGTAGCAGGGCCTAAAGGAGAGCTCCAGAGGGCTCCCCGGGTGCCTGGGGACAGGCTCGTGCCTTCTACTGAGACTCCTGGCTCTGTTCCGCGGAGCGATGGGCGGCAGGGTTCCTGCCTGAGGGAGGGCCAGGTGGGCATCAGGAGCACAGCTGTTGATCCGTAACAAAATGACTTAAAAGTTGGCCCCATTACCTGTGAGCTAGAAGACCTTGGGCAGCGGCCATAACATAAATACCGACCCTAAAGGGCTGCTGTGCGGAGTGTGATAGGTGAGGCGATGAGCGAAACCCTCGGCGCGACGCCAGGCACAGAGTGACTGCTCAAAAACGTCGGAATCAGCAATCATCAGAGTCGGCCTCTCGTCCCACACACGGTGCCTCGAGTGAACATGTGCGGAAGGAGTGAAAAGGCAAGGGGACAGGTGTCCTGCCCTCAAGAAGCTCCAGGGCTGGTGGGGGAGCGTGGAGAACAGGGGAAATGAGGGCCACACGAAGCAGAGAGGGGGCCTGGTGGCCAGGCGAGGTGAGGATGCTTTTGGCTTCTGGAGAAGGTAGCATCTGAGCTGGGCTCTGATGGCCAGAGAAGCGGCGAGAAGCCGAGGGGACAAAAAGATGGAGGGCAGGCAAGGCAGTGGGGTACACAGCGGTCTCCAGGAGCAAGCTGCATGCTCCTCAGTGGACCTTAGGGCCTGCTGGCCACTGTTCCCTTGACTTTCACCCCCCTCTTCCCCTCTGGGAAGCAGTGGGACGCAGGTAAGTCCCCGAAGGCTTTGTTGCGGGCTGGAGCTGCAGCCTGGCTCCACCTGCTCCAGCCATGTCCCCCAAGGTCCTGCTCACTCTGGCTCTGGGACTTGGCGAACGTCCAGAAAGACGGTAGCTCCCACACTGAATTAAGCAACCCATCGGGAGGGAAAATGATGGAAGCAGCCAGTGAAAATCAGTGGCCAGTAGAAAGAAGCATACCAGTCATTTCTTGCTTAGTGGAGTCACATGTGATATTTTGGGTCTTATCCAACACTTCTTGTATAATCCACATTTTTTGCGAGGAGAATTTGCTTTTATAGGGGGGACTCACAATAAATATTATTGAAAATGGAGTGGGAAGTCCTGAGCTCATGCCCTAGGTGGCCCTTTACTGGCTTATGTGACCTCAGCCAGGGTCTTTCCTCCTTGGAGTCCGAGCCTCCATGGGGTCGATGTTTCAGGAAGCCCCTCGAGGCTCCTGAGACTTAGCTCTGAAAGGGGCTGAGGGGGAGGGTCAGCAAACCAAGGCCCCTCTGTCCATGGTCCTGGCTCCCCAGCGGCTGCGGGTTCCTGCCCGCGGTGGGAGGTGTGATGTCCCTCCTGGCCAGGGATCCCAGAGGGGGCGGGGGTGGTTGGGGCACAGCTGTGGGGCTGTGAGTCATGGCAGCATTACAGGAGGATCCCAGAGGCACGGCGACCCCCTCTCCACACCAGGAAGATCAGGGGAGCCCTTGGCTAAGGCTGGCTTTCACTATGCCACCCCCTCCCTGTGATCCCACACCAGAATCACTGCCCTCCCCCCACCCAGCCACCGTGGGCCTCAGTTTCCATGCAGATGCAGCCAAAGCCACAAGGGGGAAACCAGAAGGCAAGCTACCTTTTGAAGTTCACCACGCCTTTTGGGATTCCCGTGGGGGTGTCGAAGGCTGGCAGGAGTTTCTCTCCCAGCTTGATGGCCTTTATCCGGAACACCTGGAAAGGAAGGGTCAAAGGCACTGTCAACCCTGGCAGATGAGCCCGCCAAGGCTGCTGGACCCAGAGTGGGAGGGTTATTAGGCTCCGGGGTCAGACAGGCCTGCACGTGAGCCTGACTCCATGATTTTCTGGCTCGATTCCCCTCCTCGTTTATAAATAATCAAGGATCACACTACGTTCCTCAGAGGGCTGCTGGTGGCAGGAACATCAGATAACGGTTGCAAAGCACCTACTGTGGTGTCAGGACCGGATGAAAAGGCTCGGTGATGATGCTGTGATCAGGGTGACCGGCGGGAGGGCAGCGGGTCACCAGTGTCAGTGCCAGCCTGCGCTGCAGCGGGCTGAGCACGTGGGGAGCACCTTCGGACAGGATGTAAGGGGCCCTGGACCGCAAGCTCCAGGCCTTGCTCCCCAGCTTGGCTTCCGTGTGCTTCTCAGCAAACCTCTGCCTTCCCCCACGCCGTAAACCCAGGGGAAGGGCTTTTCCCCGCTGACATTCTGCCCACTGGTCCTGTTTTATAGCAGGAAAGGTGAATGGGTAACCCAGAGATACGATGGCTAAAGAGCCCAGGTGTCAGGGGCCCTGCCCAAGGCTCTGGGCCCCTCAAACTGTTCTGATTAATTCAAAATCACCTGTGACCCTCTGAGGAAATAAATCATCAAGGAAGTTGCAACAACTTAACTTTATGGCTATTTATTCCAGTGTTGTTTACAATAGTAGAAAAAGTGGAAATACACTAAATATCAAGTAACAGGCAAATAGTGAAATTATGGCTTTTAAGTGCAACCACTGAAGTGATGTTGGAGACGGTTATTTTATAGCAAAAGAAAGGGGTTTATGATCTATTAAGAGAAAATATTTCACAATGGTGTAATTCAACTTTCGCATGAGGAAAGGTTGGGAAAACGCTGAAATACTAACAATGGTCTTCCCAAAGGACTAGGCTCATGGAGGATTTTTATTTTCTTCTTTTGGTTTATCTCTATTTTCTGTGCTATTTTTACAATAAAAGAAAACCCACAAAAATGTTGTTTATTTTTTTTTTTAATGAGATGCAAGTCCCCAAGCAGCCACTCCTGGTGAGACAACGAGCATTTCCTTTCACTTCGGGGCTCCAAGGGGGTCTCAGTGCACTGACGCCTCTGTGTGTCGTTGCAAGATGAAGTGTTCCTGAGGTCTCTCCTCCTAACACTTGCAATTCATAGCCGCTCAGGCAGCCGTCTGGGGACCACGGTGGAGAAGGAGTTTGTGACCACCAGCTGGGATGTGGATTACAGGGCTCTGTGGAGAGGTGTGGGTGGTTCTTGTTTAGGAAGGAGGGTGGCAGGGACGGAGGGAGACCCAATAATCGCACCTGGGGACTGGCTGTGATGGGTGAGAGAAGATGATAATGTCCAGTGCCAGATGGTGGGTCCGAGAAGTGGGTACGGGGCAGCTCGGCAGAATCCCGAGGGAGTTCGTCTAGACACCAGATTCCAAAGCCTCAAGTCACCCCAGAAGCCACTGGTTCAGTAACAAGGGGCTCTTGTTTGAAGGTCCTGCTATCTTCATTTGACCCCCAGGGGGGCTGAGCACAGAGGCACAAAGGAACCCACGGGGACCTGACAGAAGGCTGGGGCTCCAGGCTGCCCTCTGCTCGAGGACTCCACGCTAACTCCTCTGAAATGCTCCTCTCTGCCAGCAAACCGCATCTCCTCCTTTGGAAGGCCTTCCTGCCGACTGGTACAGCAGGGTCTCAACCATCCCAGGGAGGATGCTGGGGGGTTGTGGAGATAGGAGTAGTACCACGGGGAATAGAAAGCCTGTCCTCCTTATCATTTGGAAATGATGTGTCTTATCTACGTGGCCTTCAATCCTTGCAACAGCCTTGGGGAAGACAAAACTGAGTCTCAGAGAAGCAATTTGCCCAAGGTTGTGGAGCTCTGTTATGTGGTTCTTTTCCAGGACACCACGCTGCCTCACCAACACAGAGAGATTCGGTCTCAGACAGTCATGATAATCAACGGGCAGTGGCCTCCTAGTTCCGGAACAGAGGTGAGAGAGACCGGCAGGAATTACGTGCCACAGAGTGGAAAGCGCTATGGACTGGGAGTCAGACCCAGGTCTGATCTCCCAGCTGGGCAGCTGCGTGACCTTGGGTGAGGCATGTGCTGTCTCTGAGCCTCCTCTGCACAAAGGAACAGTGATGTGTGCCCTGGCTGCTTCAGAGAGTCTTCCAGAAATCAGATGAGAGGATGTACATAAGTGAATGTGCTATATAAGCTGTAAAGTGCTCTGAGAATCTCACTCGATGCGGCCGTAGCTGTACTTGTTGTTCTCCTGGGAGCGGAGTCTCAGGGACTCCACCTCCTGCAGGTCCCCGCGTAGCAAGAAAGGCCTCAGCACCGGAAGGGATGTGGGGGCTCCTTCATCGTTCATTCCACAAACACTCGTGGGAACAGCCCACCCCACAGATCCCCACTGTGGGTGAGACGGAGGAGGAGAGGGGAGGGCGTCCTCACCCTGGTGTGGCCAAGTCCCGGTGACAAGCAGTGATGCTGGGCCAGGCTGAGCAGGGGCTAGGACCCGGGCCGCTGCAGGAAGGCCACAGGAGCCTGTGTGGCCTGCACCAGATGGCACTCTAGGTCTCGGTCTGCACGCCTGCCAAGGCAGCCTGGTCTCTGCCACGTGGAGGGAGGGGCCCGGGAGGCGTGTCTGGGGGGACGGGGCAGCGCCGATCACCCAGGAGCCTGCCTGCTCAGGGACTCTGCACCGATCAGGCTCTCCTGGGGCCTCCTGGACCACGGTGCTCACACCACACCCCACTGCCTGCTCTGCTCCCCAGAAATCATTGGTCCCACACCCACCCCGGTGGGCCCTGAGCTGTATCACTCCTCCCCCATCCTGGACAGGAGGCTGGGGAGTGCCTGGGCAGAGCCTGGTGCCTTTCTCGACTCCACGTCATTTTCCTGTCCTGGGGTTTTTCAAATGACATTCAGGCCTTGGGTGGCTTGCAGGGTTCCCCTGGACCATCAGTTCAGTTCACTCGCTCAGTCGAGTCTGACTCTTTGTGACCCCATGGACTGCAGCACGACAGGCCTCCCTGTCCATCACCAACTCCCAGAGTTTACTCAAACTCATGTCCCTTGAGTTGGTGATGCCATCCAACCATCTTTCTCTGTTGTCCCCTTCTCCTCCTGCCTTCAATCTTTCCCAGCATAAGGGTCTTTTCCAATGAGTCAGTTCTTTGCATTAGGTGGCCAAAGTATTGGAGTTTCAGCTTCAACATCAGTCCTTCCAAAGAATATTCAGGACTGAGTTTCTTTAGCATGGACTGGTTGGATCTCCTTGCTGTCCAAGGGACCCTCAAGAGTCTTCTCCAACACCACAGTTCAAAAGCATCAATTCTTTGGCACTCAGCTTTCTTTACAGTCCAGCTCTCACATCCATCATTTGGGGACAAACTGGTACAAGCAGGAAGCTCTGCTTAGAAGACCAGGCTCGAGGGAGAGGGGCCGTGAGTGACGGCAGAGATCGAGGGCTCACTGCTGCCTCCACACCCCTGGCGTCCGGGGAAGCCCAGTGACCTCCTCCGACGGAGGCGGCAGAGGCTCCCCGCCAGCAGGGAGCAGGACCATTTTTGTCCCTAAGTGATGCGCAGTGAGGCGCAGAGCAGCGCAGCCCTCTGGGTAATGGAGACATGACTGACGGCTGACCCATGTGCTGGGGACTCAGCCAGCTTGCCCCTCAGTCCTCAGACACTCCCAAGGGATGAAGTCCCCCCAGCTCTGTGATCTCAGGGTTCCTTACGGTGCAGAGAACATGGGCTCTGGAGCCCTTCAGCCCTGGGCCCAAACTCTTTCCCTCTCATCCCATTTCATAAGAGCTCTCTGACTCCATGGGCTTAGGATCACCCCGCAGAGGGGAAGGCAGGAGGCCCAGGAGCGGGAGAAGGAACTTGCTCAAAGCCAAGGCAGGTGCTGCATGCGGGTGAGATGAAGGCTTTCCTACTCCGTGCCCAGGGCTCCGCCTTCTCGCCTCACTTCAAGGCTCTCCTTCTGGAAGCCAACGCAGCTCGCCTGGGCTGAGTGGCCAGCAGTGGCTGCCCACCTCCCTGGTCAGCCCCTTGAGACCTAGGGCTGGTGTCTGGCCCTGGAGCAGAGGACAAGGGATGGCTATAGAGCAGGCCCAGGCCCAGGGGTCCGAGGTGGAAGTGGGCAAACAATGGTCTTGGCTTTATCAGTCCTGAGAACCAACATGTGTGAAAACCAGCCCAGCAGCAACCCAAGCCCAGAGCAAGCCCGGATGTTGAGGGTTCCACAAGGGGAGCTGTGCAGATGGTGAGCAGACCCAGCTGCTGCCCTTAAAGATTTACCGCCGACTCTGGGAGCCAGTTCTGAGCAGCAGAGTGGACATGCTGGACAGAAGAGGAGGCGGAATCTGCAGGTGGCCCCATGGAGATGGGATGTGGGTCCCCTGGAACCCGTTTCCTTGTTGGTAAAACAAAGGGGGTGGGGTTGCTGTTCTCCCAAGCCCTCTTCAGCCAGGATGACCCAGGGGCCTCAAGAGGCCAACTCACCTCCTCTCCAGTCAGGTAGAAGGCTGAGAGCAGTCCTCCAATGTACCGGATGTTCACTTCGAACAAGGACGCTTCTCCGCTCTGCAGGGCAGAAAGATGGGGAGGGCAGAGGGGACACACGTGAGATCCCCACAGGGCTCCCTGGGGCCCGCTGGGCCCTTGAGACAGGTCACACCTGCCACCCACCGCCTCTGCCCCACTGGCCTGGCCACACTTGGGCCAGGCTCCAAGCCCTTGCCCAGCAGGCCAGGCTCCCCGCGGTGGGGGTTTTCAGAGCAAAAGGCGAGAGGGATCAGCACCTGCCTGGCGGCAGCTACCGCACATTTACAGAGTTCCAAATAAACACTGGGCTTGGCTTCCTTCCCCGGCCCTTGCCAGAGGCCATCGGAGCAAAGTTATTCCTGGCTGCTCTCCAAGGAGCTCGAGAACGCGCTGGGGGAGCTGACGGCTGAAGCTCAGCCTGAGGACCGGCCAATCCTCTCACAGTCTGGCCCCCCCTTTCCCCAAGGGACCCCCCCCTTGGCTTTGCAGGAGGCTGGTGTGGTCTTCTTCGGGGTAACAGGGCAAGCAGAAGGTTCTCAGAGGAGGTTCTGGGGCAAAAGGAGGGCTGCCAGGCAGATCTTGACAGGCAATCAGCACTTTCTTAGCCTCCGCTCTGTAGCCCTCAGGGTACACCCACACTCGCCTTCAACACGGTTGTTTTCTTTCTGAAGCCTGGACGGCAAAGCAGGGGTGTCAGAGCATCGTGCCAAGGCCCAGATCTGGCTTAATATCCCACCTGAGCCACTCACTTGGCGTTCAGACTTTGGGCAAGATATTCAGCCTTTCCCACTCCGAGTATCCTCTTCCTGAGCAGGTGGATAGGAGATGCTGACTGGGGCAGGGGAGAGGCCTGCACAGTGCCTGTCCAGGGCTGGGTGTGGCTCCATAAATGTACCACCCCCTTGCTATTATCCCCGCCTTGCTTCTGAGGGCGCCCTTTGCACGCTTCCCACATTGTAGTCTTTTGTTATTGACGACAATGATGGTCATCCTTTTATCTGGGAGAGCTTTTCCATTAACAGAGCACTTGCAAAGCTACTCCTCTCTTTTGCCTTCCAGTCCTTGGTGAAGTCATCACTCCCACCTTTCAGATGAGAAAGCCCAGTCTCAGAGAGGTGAAGAGCCCCCACCTGGCTTTCTTCCAGGGACACTCCCTAACTGTCCCTGGGCTGCCTGAATGTCCCTAGGCTCCCCAGCCCTGCCACCACCCGGCCCCTCGGGCAGCTGCCTGCGGCCCACTCTATTCCCACCATCTGCTTAGGGGTCCAGATGGGCTATGGAGCCACTCCTTCCTTCTCCCGCCTCTGCTCCCATAGGAAATGGGAGGATTCTGAACTTCTTCACCTCATCCAGACTGGCAGAAGTCATAACAAGCTTTGAAATCATCACAGGGAGACTGGCATCACTTTATCCGCACTGGACTTTACAATGTGTTATAAAATGCTTTTTACAACCCTCCATGGTTGTCCATCCTTACAAGCCTGTGAATTAGGCACCAGCATCGCCCCGTCTTTCGGGTGGGAAACTCAGGCCCAGGAAGGTCACATGACTTTTTCCCAGCCTGCTGGCCGAGCCGAGGTTCCCCTGTAGCGTCGCTCTCCCAGACCTTTTCCACTCTGTCTCTCTGCCCTGCTCCACAGTAACATGGGCCCCTCTAGGAGCAGAGGTGTCCACTCTGCCAGGAGTTACAGGAGCCGTCCCAGTTCATAGCAGGACCTGTCATTCGTGGAGCCCCGGCTGGAGCCTGATGGTGGGCTTTGACATGACCCTACCATCTGTCTCCACGTCCTACTCCCCCAGACCACCTAAACGGCTTCTCCCTGCAGGGAGCTGAGACTGCCAGGATGGATCTGTCACTTTAGCCCAGGCTGGGAGATCACTTGGAGAGGGAGGCATCTGGTATTTAAGGCTTTTGTACCATCCACACACGTGAGCAGTCCCCCCCCCAAGGTCTGGTCCTTGAGGTCCTGAGCAGGGTTGCCTGCAAAGGCTAGAGACCAAGAGGGTCCCAGACCTGGCCGGGGGCCTCATACCAGATGGCCTCCGTGGCCCCTCACCTGTCTCAAGAGGGCAGCGCAGGGGGGCGTAGATGCGAGCTCCAGCTCAGGGCAGTCCAAGCAGACAGCCACCTCTCCCTTCCCAGGGTCACTTCCCCTGTTGCTGCTATTCTGTCTAATGGATTCAGCCCCAGAAGGAGCTTCCTGGATGGGAGCAACGTGCCTGGAGTTCAGGCTAGTAAATGCTCATGGGCTGGCGGGACATCCCCCACCTTAAGGCTGGTCACAGGGGAGGGCACTTGGCACAGAGTGTCGGGAGCCCTGGCTCTGAGAATGCCCTGCTGGGCAGCCTGGGTCTCAGAGATGGGAGGCGAGCTGGTGGCTGACCTCTCAGGCCCCTTCCAGCCCTAGTACCCCAAGAGGTCTTGGACTCACCACGTTCAAGTGGAAGCTCTCTTCAACCCAGGCCTTGGCCTCCTGGAACTCCTCCTTCAGCTCCATGAGGTAGAGGGTGTCGAGGGAGTCGATGACCGTGGCCCCGCTGAGGCCTCCTGCAAGCACAGAGGATGCAGGGTGTGACCCAGGGTCATTCTCATCCTTTCCACCCCAACCATAAGCCACCATTTGCCAGGCCTCCTCTAAATACCCAGGCAGGCTCCCAGGCACAACTCAGGGAGACCCCAGGGCCACCAGCCTTTAAAGGCACATCTGAGACCCAGAGTCCTCCCTTTGGTTCCTCCTCAGGGCAGCAAAGAGGGGGTGGTGGGTCGAGGAGACAAGTTCAAGGGCTGAGCAGCTTCCCAGACCTTGGTTCACTTTTCCGTCTGCAGCAAGTCAACTATCAGCACCAGGCGGGCACCTACCACTTTTCTGTGATGCCGCAGGGTGAGCAGAGGGATGGGTGAACTGGTATTTAGTGTACAAAATCTTAAAAAATGTGCTAGTCCTCTGACTCTTCAATTCCATTCTTTATTTTATGCTAAGAAAAAAGATGTTCATAAATATTTACCCAGGAAGGTATTTATTGCAATAACATATAATGGGTGAAAAAGTAAAAAGTGAAAGTGTTAGTCGCTCAATCGTGTCTGACTCTTTGTGACCCCATTATAGCCCACCAAGCTCCTCTATCCATGGAATTCTCCAGGCAAGAATACTGCAGTGGGTAGCCATTCCCTTCTCCAGTAGATCTTACCAACCCAGGGACAGAACCCAGGTCTTGCAGGCAGACCTTGAAGGCAGATTCTTAACCATCTGAGCCACCAGGAAAGCCCCAAATATAATGGGTAAAATTTGGGGAAAAGAAGCTCCAAGTCCAATAATAGGGCATCAGTTATATAAATTATGGCTTATGTACAAACTAGGACACTATGCATACATTCACACAAGTGAGAAAGACTACTAGTTGGGGAGATATTCACAGGATCTGATAAGCTAAAAAGATTAAATTGCAAAAAAAAAAAAAAAAGCAGAGTATAATTTCTTTACTGTTTGCCAGTATGGACAAGCTGGTACCGAATTAAGTCTGGCAGGAAGTGATTCAGTGGTTATCTCTGGGGGTGAGGATTACAGGTGCTTTGATTGCTTCCAGCTCATGGATTATTTTTATAACCAGAAATTTATTTCTGCCTGAAAAAAAAAAGGAAAGATGGTTTGAGCAAAGAAACCAAACACACACAACTAAAGAGTCCATGGCCACCCCTGGGCCTCAGACTCCTGACTTGGGAGTAAAGGCAGAGAAAACTGTACAGTGTCCCCCCTCACAAGCCAGACAGAAAAGCAATGAGAAGACCTCCCCAAGTGGGACAATAGTGCGTGGCTTGTAGAGGATGGTGAAGGAGGAAAGCGGGGAGAAAGATGTGTTTGGTGCCACCTGGAGGGCTTCCTGGAAGAGACGGCAGGCTCCCATCAACTCTGTCCTACAGTCATCACAGGCAGCAGTAACTTCCTTCAGGGACTAGGGGGTAACTTAAGAGTATTGTTCCTTCAATGCACTCCGTGCAGAGGCTCAAAGCATTGAGCCTCGCAGGCTCTGCCTTCCCCCAGCGGCCGCCAGAGCTGGCCAATGGGTGCTGAGCCCCACTTGAGTTTGAAGCACGGCTCTGTGGGCCCTCCTGCATTCAGAGCTAGTGTCTGATCTCCTTAATTAGTGCTTCTCTAACTGCTCACTTGTGTTGACTTTGCAGAGTAATTCCTATGAAACTCAAACACTTAACCACCTCTCTAGGCTGGGCAAGTTCAGATAAAAGGCGTGCCCTGGAAAAGGATGGGAGGTAGACCCGGGAGAAGTTGGCAGAAAGTTAAGTCTAGAGGTTAAAGAGCCATTTCCAGGGGGAAGGGTTTTGCAAGGAAGAGTAGAGGGTAGGGAGGGCTGGTGGGGGGTGTGGGGTGAGGGCGCGGGGGAAACAACTCGCTTCCCAGTCCAGAGACATGTGTCCTGGGATGGCTTTGGCATTTGGGTTGAACTGAATTTCCAGAATATCAACCCCTCCCACACTTAAGCATTAATAGGAAAACATACTCTAAGCCAAACAAAATTGATCTTTTCCTGGTTTATCCCAGCTGCTTCCAGGCAGGTGTCCAAGGCTGAACACAGTTCGTGGGAACTCTGGACCCTCCTGAGGTGCTCAGGCCTTGGGACACGGATGGGCCATACATGGACAGAGACATGCCCAGACCCAAGGGTGCTGGCCTGGCATCCACGCTCCAGGCTCTGATGCCGGGGCCCCCTTCCCGTTCACCACAGGGCCTCAAACCTGAGTTCTTCAGGGCCTGAAGGAATTCTTGAGATCCCCCCTTGCCTCACCCCTAGATTTCATAGATGAGGACCCCAGAGAGATCCCCTTCAAGTTTAGGCCAAGGGAGGAGAGAAGCCCCAGGCTGGGCCACATGTAACGTGTTTTCCGTATGAGGGCGTCTGGGTTCGCTGGGAAACAATTTCGGATCTGCTAGCTGAGACCCCTTCCTGGCGGGGCCCGGAGGCTGCTCCGATCCGTGTGAAGAAAAGCCCAAGCTGCCTGTCCTTCAGGGCCAAGGGCGAGGCGGCCCAGAGCATTTGATTCCTGGATCCCGTCTCCGGGCTGGCGGGTGTTTTCACCCCGTGGGCCCTCCGTCTCCTGGGCTGACCCTGAGCCCAGAGGCCCCGGGACCTCGGCTGGGCCGGGAGGGCAGCCAGGGTGCCTTGTGATCAGCTGTCCTCCCGAACACTCCCGAGGCCGCTCACTAGGAGATCTGTTGGCAGGCTTCTGCCCCGGCTCTCCGCTTCCTCTCACCCCGCCCCCCGCCACCACCCTGCTGGGCCACAGGCCAGCAAGTCACTTATTGGAAAGCTTTTTGTTTCAGGCCAGAGGTTACCTGGTGGCCCAGCTGCCAGGCAGGAAAGAAGGCGTGATCCCGAAGTCAACTCTATCTGCACCTGCGGCCCGTCTGGGGTGGCTCCCCCAGGGAAAAGGAGATCCGTCCGTTCAGTTAACAGGCCCACAACTTGTCAGGAAAGAGCCAGAGGGTGCAGAGAGTCAGGCAGCTGGCTTGGCAGCTTCCCTGGGCTGGGGCAGCCCACTCCCCCAGCTCTAGCTCTGAACTCGTGTTCACAAAGGACACCGCTGGCTCCTCTTTCTGCCAGGGCAAGAGGCAGTGGTGGTGGTGGTTCAATGGCTAAGTCATGTCTGACTCTTGCGACCCCATGGACTGTAGCCCTCCAGGCTCACTCTATCCATGGGATTCTCCAGGCAAGAACACTGGAGTGGGTTGCCATTTCCTTCTCCAGGAATCAAGGCAGTGGGGTCTGTTAAAAAACAAAAAAACCACAGCTCTGTGTTCAAATCCCAGATTGGGTCAGCAACACATCTCTAAGTGCCGAAGTTCTCATCTGTAAAATGAGGTAAAGACCCCTGGGCCAGGGTACTGGGGAGCCACTGAAGGTTCCTGAGCTGGGACAAGGGTATCATATAATGCCCAGCCTAAATACACTTGTATGTGCCTGGCACAGAGTAAGCGCTTGACGTATCAGTTCACTGCTCTTATTTCTGGGGTCCCTTAGCTCACCTTGAAATGCTGGTCTGGCCCAGGGAGGCATGGGTTCACATTCTGGTTCCGTTATGTACTAGCTGTGTGACAGGGCAAGTCACTACCTCGCTGAGCCTCGTTTTTCTCATCTGCAAGAGGGGGAAATACAGCAGGACCAACCTGGTAAGGCTGCCGGATGGTTAAGTGTGGCGGCAGATGAAAAGGAGCTGGCACGATGTTGGGTACATCTGCCCCTACAAGCAGAAGTGTGGCCCTCTGTCCCCAGCTGGCCCTGGGCAGCCCCTACACAAAGTCTCCTAGGGTCACTGAGGCCTTGTGACGCTCCTGCATTACTGGTTTCTCACTATCCCGTGGGTACCAGACGCAGCTTGTAAAAGTCTTGACCTCAACTTAAAGGAAAAGCGTCACACGGGTCCCACCTAGGTCCGATGCTTCCCACCCCTGACTTGGCCGTGCATCTGCCTTCAAAAAGGTCTGCCTGCCTCCCAGGCCTCTCTAATTCACCCTGTACATTGTCACCTTACCTGTCTTCCTAAAACCAGATCCACTGTGCCCCTCCCCAGCTCAGGAGCCTGCAAACGCTTTGCAGTACCCGTGCAACAACTGGGGACAGGGGGTGAGGCCTTTTGGGTCTGAGTCCAGTGGATCTGGCTAATATCATCTCCCATCTAGCTCTGCTTCTGGCCACAGGCTGCATGCTCTGGCCTCCCTACGTTTGCATGTGTGGTCTCCTCTGACAAGAGAGCTTCTCTGTGCATTTGGGCACTCACAAAGCTTTTACCTTCTTCAAGGTCATCTCCCACTGGCAGCCTTCTCTGATTGCACCCAGCCAACCTCCTCCTGCCCAGAGAGCTCCCATAGGACTTTCCCAGGCCTCCCACTCAGGTGCCCTTCATTCCTGCCCTGTACTGTACCTCGCTGAGCAGTACATTCCCACTAACTAGACTGAGAACTCCTTGAGGCCAAACACTCCCAAGGCTTCTCTCACACCCCTTCCCTGCAGCCCCGAAGACCAGAGCCCCCAACCCCAATGCCACCGACCATTTCCTGCAGCCTCAGCACCTGCCCTGACTTCTGTGACGCTTCTACAACTCTGCTAGGGATCGTCTTCCCCATCTCCCCTTCTCCTGCGGGATCTAGAGCCCGCCCAGTGCCTCCTCGGCCAGGAAGCCACCATGATCCTCCCCCCACAATCTGCATGAAGTCTCACCCTCCCGGAGACGCCCTCACCAGCCCCTCGGGGCCTATCCTCTAGGCTCGTGCACGCTCATCTCCACTCTCATCAGCATAACGGAGCTGTCCATCCACTGCCCTGTCTTCTGTAGCAGCAGGGGCTCAGTCTGCAGCAGGGTCGCCTCCAGGCTCGAGAGACAGTGGCCAGTGGAGTGGGCCGACAGGAGGGAGGAGACCAGGCTGGCCGTCTCCTGCACGGACTCCCTGGCCTCGCGCTGGCTCTGGGCTGGGTCTTGGCCTTCAGGACGCCCCTCTTCCTCTTGCTTCTCCTCCTCACCCTGTGGTTGCTTTTTCC